ACTCGTACACTTCCACCACTGTGTCTTGGCGAATTCTCAATTATCTACGCAGTCAATTTTCGCGGCGTCTGGGGCTCTTGTGAATGATGAAGACGATCCTCAATTCTTTCAGTGCCTTTTAACTGCATTTTGCACTTCCACCAATGTGAGAGGAGTGAAACTGAATGGCGAGCGGCGATGAGCAATATACTAATATGTGGTGGTCAATTGCTGAGAATATTGTTTCTCAGAATATTCTTGTGCACATTTCTCTCGCTGAAAAATGGTTACTTTCAGTGTCAGAGTTGCGGCTAATACATACATAAGTATGTATATAATAAGAACATTTCTTCCCCAATATTTATGAGCCACACTTTGTATAACTTTGTCTTCTGCATTTTTCGCCTTTTCTTCTCTCTTTCCGCGCCTTTTTCCCGGCCACTCGATTGAACTTCTCATGTCTCCTCTCTCTCAACTATATCGGAATTGAATATTACGATGTGTGTTTGTCTCGTACAGTCGCAACACACTTCATTCATTTGATCTTATTCTGCCCTGCAGCTGAGAAGCTGTTGAGCATTGTGACGAAGGAAGAAAAAAGGCTGTACACAATTATATTTTATCAAGAATCAACCGCACTATATACACAAATATCAAATATATTTAAAAAAGCAACAGTATCACGTACGACGATGACTGCTAAAACTACTGAGCGGTGATTGAACTTATAAATGCTAACGACACACATCGACCATGGAGGAAAAAAAGAGATAGAGAGATGTTGGTTATTAAATATCTTTTGGAAACCTTTGAGCGCGAGAATACGTCTGAAATGAGAAGAAAATAAAAAGTTGGACACAAGAGCGGCAAAAGAAGAATTCCACTAATTTGTCCAATTCGAGAAGTGTTGAAGTGAAGGAGCATGAAAGACTGAGATCTCATCTACTACGAGAGTTATTAACTATGGCGAGAGGGAGAGAGAGAGGCATGAAAGTATTCCATTCATTTCTTATTAAAATATTCCACTGGCAAAATAGGTACTTGATTTCATCCAGGGAATTAACCATCTTAAATTCCATCCGTAACGCACTCGCACATATGAATAAATTAATTAAAGAGCATTGTAGAGACGCTCGGCGCGGCATTAGACGAAATATTTATTGCAGGAGCGAAAGAGGAAAGGTGTATTGGAGGAAGTTTTTGCACATTCGACTCTAATTTCCAGCTGGCTTTATTGGCAGAGAGGAAACTTAAGAGACTTGAACTGCTCGCGGATGGAATGGAATAGAAAACACCTGTTGTACACGTCCATCGATTTAAAATTCGGCGGATCCGCCATAAAATCTCAATGGTTGGAAGGAAGGAAAGAAGGGAAAAAGAAGTCGACATAGAGGGCAAATGAGACGAAAATCCACTTTTTGGAATCATAAAATAAATTTTAATTCCCGCATTAAGAACACATTTGACTCACAGCAGCGCAAGTGTGCAAATTATATTTAATAAAATAAACGCACTTGAAGGAGTTATTAGGCGCGAATGCAGGAAAGTAAAACGTAATTTATTATATATTTCATTTCCTATTTTGATAAGGAGGGATTATCTTAATGGTGGAACTTTGGTGTACTCAAAACGCAATAACTGGTTAGTTATGCGGAAACTAGTAATGCTGATGAAACTACTTCACTGGTTCTTTAAGTGGATTCTCTAATCCTGGCTGAATACATTTGATAACTCATTCACTTTTCATACTGTCTTCAGGAAAAGTCCTATTCAAATTCCAGTGGGGAAATATATATTTATACAAATAAGGAAGAGCTAAACAGTTAATGTATCAATTACTTCTGTGTTGCATTTACTGCATGCAAAAGCATAACGACACAAGCGTTTGCAATACACAATATTTCTCATACAATATTGAACAATACACGTATGGAAATTTTTCCGCAGAACTGTGACAATTTCCGTGGAAAGAGTATAATTTTATTGCAAGTGTGCACAGAGTTTTGCCACCTCAGTTGAGTTTGCAAAAGTCTCCACAGTAGAGAGTTTTGATTTGGGGGATTTTTTCGCTGTAATTAGAAGAGTTTGGCGTGCTTTTGAAGTTATTCTTTCTCACTCTCTCTCTCTCTCTCTGTCGCGAATCTGTGCTAAAGTGCATTGGTTTCGCCAATGCGAGAAAACTTCAACATTGATCACCTCAAATACAGCTGAAAGTGCTGATAAAGCATCGTCAGCAGAGCGCTTATAAGAGTGACGCCAGTGCGAACTATTTGCCCACAATAAAGAGCGACACACAGTGCAAAGTGAGAAAATAAACTATAGCCATAAGGGATCACATTATTAATTATCTCTGTCGTTATTTTGTTGCACTCGCCGAAAGTGCTTTGAAAGGACTTTTTTCCGTTTACTTTATCACAGTGAATGATCTCAATATTCATTTGCTTGAGCACTTGAGCTCTCTCTCAAGTGATTCGGTGAGCTTCAATGTGAGTATTATTGTTGGCTTTGTGTGCCCATCAAAATTAGATTAAGCATTTTTCCCCAAAACATAAATATGCTTAATTTCGGACTTTTGCAAAGCGACGCGCAGGGGGAGAAAAAATTGTTTTGTACTTTGAATCAAATTACAAGTATTATTATTGGGTCTCTTCGACCAGTGTTTTAAAACTGCTTGCTTTTCTGCTTCTCTCTTTCTCTCCTATTCCTGAAAGACGTCTCGCGAATAACGTGAAATTGTGTTAATGTGAAACGCGCAATTTCATCGCAAAACACATAATAATAGAACTTCAGCTGAGAGAGTGACTTTTGCTTGGAAAAACACAACAAATCAACTTCCGCGTGTTTTCTCTTTGCATCTGTCGCGTTGTGCGGCCAAAAAGCATTCAAATACATATGCAATCAGTCACACAATGAACCGCGATAACAGATTAGAAAAATAATGGGCTCTGCTGAGTGAGCAATAAGCTTGCAATTTTATGTCATTTCTCTACTGTCTCTTCGTGCTACAGAAGCTTCGATTGGAATTCTGGCAAAACTCTAGCCGAAAACTGTTGAAGATGTTCAACACATTTGGTCAATGGACATTTAATTACCATAATTCACAATGAGAAACTCATGCAGTGTGTGGAATTGCCTGGAATTTCTGTCCAAATTATGTGCCGTAGGAATGTGCAAATATTTTCTCTACGTGTAATTTATCCGCAATTGTGAGTTGGTCGAGTGCAAATGTGTTGATGTGGGTGATTATACTGGAAATGCGAAAAATATGACAAAACACAGTTACATGATAAGTTGAATTGTGCGCTGAACTTTATGTACAATACAAAAATGGGTTCTCTTTCGCGAAACCCATACAAAACAGAAAATTGTTTTTATGTTTTCAAATCAACCAAACGCACAAAAGTCACTCTTTTTCACTTCAAAACATATTCACAAAAATATTGAATGGGCGCGAGCAGATGAATGAAGTGTGGTTTGAGCGGTGTGTGATCCAGAAGGGGTGGGGAAGAGGGGGTGGTTGAACTGAAAAATTGCGCGATAATGCTTTGACGACGAGTGAGGAAAAGGAATGGGAAAAAAGTGCGGAGAGTACATTGACAATTTCACTGTCCCTAATTTGTGTGTATCTCTTCTCTTTCTGTGTGATATTTTTGTGTCATTCGCGCGCGCCACACAATTTCATTTCTCATTTTCAGTAGCTCATGAAAATTCGCAGCAGACGAATGTGCCTTTTCGGGAGTTTCATCTTTTTATCACACTAAATGTACTCTTTCTAAATATTCCTCCAATCCTTAGTTAGTTTCTCGCCTTTGTTGCACTGCAATTTTTCCACATTTTAGTTTATATTTCTCTATCTCTCTCCATAATGTTGTCAACCACATTAGATTGGTACATAGTTTGTAAGGTAATTAATGCGAAAAGAAAGAGAGAGGGGGAGAAGGGGAGACACTGAGCAAGACAAGAGATGCAAAAGTGATTTTTGAGTGAAGGTGTGTGATGAACAGCCAAGAAAAAACAACAATTTCTCAATTTTCTATTCGCAGTTCATCAGCGAAAATCGTGATTAGCGGTATTCCGCTTCATGCCCATTTCGATGACATCGAACCCCTATTAAAGCCATACGGCAAGGTGGAACACTGTGACGCTGTCTCTAGTAAGGATCCCAACACTCAGACCGTCCACATAACGTTCGAAAATCATGAGCAGGCACAAAGGTACAGAATAGTTTGCTTGCAAGAGAGAGAGAGACTCTCCCTCTCTCTCTCTTATATTTTTTTGGCTAAAAAAAAGTGTGTATTGTTTATTTTTCTTTGCTTTATCAGTCACCCAAAAATATAACCAGAGAGTGATAGCGATCACGAGATTTGAGATAGAGAGTAGGTGACATGAGATGGGGTCGATTTTGTTGTTTGGTAAACGTGTGTACATATCTGATGCAAGAGAGTGTGTATCGCTTTTGCAGTGTAATTTCGCCCTTAATTGAATACGCGCGTTCCCACTCTCTCTCTTTCTCTCTCTTGAGGAGGGCCAGGGAAGATTGTGGTGAGGCCCCTTTTACTTTCCACAGACGTTTGGGTGAAACGCTCTCTCACCTCTTTTTTGGGGTGTTCTCTCCACTTTGCGAGGCAAAAGGTGTTCCGTTCTCCCGCCAGTAAATTGTGGATAAGGAGAGTCCCAGAGCATAGATTGTGGCATATAGAGATCGTAACATGTAGATGCATAAATTAGATTTAGCGCTATTACATGCATTAATTTGACGCGGGGGGGAAGCGAGAGAGCGACTGATCAGTGTGTGGAGATGAATGTGAAGAATTTTGCACATTAGAAGCGTGTGTGTTGTGGAAGCACTGCTGATGGGCAGTGTTTGCTGTTGATGTATATTTCTTACTTTTTTTCTTGCACTTTGGGAGACTTTCGCCATCAAACCCAGGCCCAGATCGATTTGAGTTGTTCTGGCAAAGTCGGAATGCGAGAAAAGTGGCGGAGAATGCATTGTCTTTTTCTTTCGTGACTCCTTGCAGAGCGGCCGCCGGATTGAATGGTGTCGAGTTCGAGGGCAATAAGCTTCATGCTGAGCAATTGGACAAACAGCAGCGACGTAGCAATCGGAATCGCAATCAGTACGCCGGGATGTCGGGCTCGAACCGCCAAACGGACTTTCCATTGCGTCTGCTGGTGCAGAGCGATATGGTGGGTGCTATAATTGGTCGTCAGGGCAGCACTATTCGCCAAATCACACAGCAGAGTCGTGCCAGAGTCGATGTACACCGGAAAGATAATGTAGGATCACTTGAGAAGGCCATCACCATTTATGGTAATCCGGAGAATTGCACAAATGCCTGCAAGAGGATCTTGGAGGTGATGCAGCAAGAAGCCAACAACACCAACAAGGGGTGAGTTTTGCTCATGTTAACACAGCGCCAAAGTACACGGAATAATTAATCTCTCTCTCTCTCTTTCTTCTTGCAGTGAAATCTGTCTGAAAATCCTTGCTCACAATAATCTAATTGGGCGCATCATAGGCAAGAATGGGAATACGATAAAGCGCATCATGCAGGAGACCGAAACGAAGATCACGGTCAGTTCGATAAATGACATCAACAGCTTCAATCTGGAGCGCATCATCACGGTGAAGGGTGTGATTGACAATATGTCACGTGCGGAGAGTCAAATCAGTGCTAAATTGCGCCAAAGTTACGAGAATGACCTACAAGCAATGGCCCCACAGAGTATTATGTTCCCCGGCCTCCACCCCATGGCGATGATGTCGACAACGGGCAACGGCATGGGCTTCAACAATCGGAGCGTCTTCCCCGGGCCGGGCTTCCCCATGTATCAACCGCCGTCCGGCACTGGCTTGGCCCCCGGGGGCTCCACTGACTCGCAGGAGACGACCTATCTGTATATTCCCAACAATGCCGTTGGGGCTATCATCGGTACCAAAGGATCGCACATTCGCAACATTATCCGCTTCTCGGGGGCGTCGGTGAAGATCGCTCCGCTGGAGGCGGACAAGCCGGCGGATCAGCAGACGGAGCGCAAGGTGACGATTGTGGGAACTCCGGAGGCCCAGTGGAAGGCTCAGTACCTGATCTTTGAGAAGATGCGCGAGGAGGGCTTCGTCACCGGCACGGACGACGTGAGGTTGACTGTGGAAATCTTGGTGGCCAGCACACAGGTAAGCAAACACTGGCTTGCGCTCGTTGCAGAGCTTTTATTGACTCTTCCGGGGATTCTTTCCAGGTTGGACGCATCATCGGCAAGGGCGGTCAGAATGTGCGAGAATTGCAGCGAGTGACAGGGAGTGTCATAAAGTTGCCAGAGCACGGAAGTGCTCCTGCTGCAGACGAGGAGACCACAGTGCACATCATTGGTCCATTCTTTAGCGTTCAGGTGAGCACACAAAGTTCAGAATCTCAGCATCTTTTCTCTCAGTGGAGCAATAAATGTGTAATAATAAAGTGTTATTGCTCTATTTTTAACTGGGCTACAAATTTGCCACGTTATCGCAATAATTACACACAAGATCAGTGAACAAGGGAGTTAATTTTCTCCGTTTGATGCGATGAATCACTGCCTGAGATTCACGCTAAAAATACTATCAACTCTATTTTCTGTATTTTCTGGGAATTTTCCAGTCGGCTCAAAGGCGCATCAGGCAAATGATGCTCACGACCAATCCGCCGCCGGTGAGCAAGAAGTCCAAGAGCAGCAAGGACTCGGGTGTGTCGGGTCAGGCGGGCGGGCCGCCGTCGCAGTCCTCGCCGACTCAGCAGTCGCCAGCGCCGTCTCAGACGTCCCAGCAATCGCAACCGCAATCCTCGCCGCAGCCACAGCAGTCCTCCAGCACCCAGCAGTAAGTCTCCCGAAAGCCACCATCCAGTTACGCCTCCCCCTGCGGTGGCGGCGCAAACACACCCTCCAAATCCCGCATTGAGAGACTCTTGAAGCGCCAACAATAGTAACGAAGAAGACACCTTTCTTTTGGGCTTTTCCACAACTTACTTGCTCGAATATATCTTTTTCTCACTTTTTTGATTGAACCTCCAACAGAAAATTCGAGACATCTCTTTGGTCATTGCAAGAAAATCTCACTATGCAACCCTTTTTTGGCTCAATGTTGAAAGAAAAAAAAGAAGAAAAGTTTGTAATCTATACTATATAAAATTCATCGCATTCTGGCTTAGCACTGAAGATTAAATATTATAACACTTACTGAAAAAAGAAAATGAATAATGAGGAAAGAAAGTTCTACAAGAAATATTGCACTATATTCACCACAAGAAAAAAAATTTATGGGTAACATTCCTGTGTAAATAATAGAATTATTAATAGCAGAACTAAATATATTATTGATTTATTAAGTGAATATTTTTGTTGAAACACTATTAATATACCATCAGAAACACCATTGAAAGCATAAACAGGTTAAATAAGGCATAAATGAAATCTTGAGGAATGGGACGGACAGACAGGAAGGAAAAAAGCTATAGAAAAGAATGTGAGTGAAGAATACTGAGAGAAAAGAGATCCTTTTAAAAGATCACTCTGTATATAAATATTGATAGTTTTTATTAACTAATAGTAATGGATAGTGAGATAGGCATTTAAGAATTCTACGGAAAACCAATCGTTTTTCTATATTGAAAATTTGTATTATATATAAATATTTATAAGAGTGATGACGAGAGGGATAAAGAGATTTCTTTAGGGGCGAAGAAGGCGTAAAAAAAAGCTCTTAAATTGGGGAAGAAGAAAAAAAACTGAGAAAGAACTATTGACGAAAGTGAGCGAACAAGGAGATGAAGAAGAAAAAAAAATGAGAAGTTCATTAAGGAGAGAATGTTTTGTATTAAACATGAAAAGCAGTTAGTTGATTCTTTTCAATCGATTGCCTTAGAACGGTGCTGAAGTAAGAATAATTAAAGAAAAAAAAATACTATCCATTTTTTAAAAAAAGAAAGAAAGAAGAAGGAGAAAAGAGAGTTGTTTCTGCCACAATGAAACAATTTTTGCTGGTTTAATGGAACAGATTTATTTTATTTTACAAACCTAACTCAATATTACTACTGATGGAATGAACGACATCAACACACAATCAATAGTTTAAGGGAAATAGAACATCAAGTTAATGCCTTATTTTTGGGAATATGTACACAATCTATTTTGCAAACTACCACCGGAATTTCTTTTGGACGACAGCATTTGATGGGACACTTTGAAGAGGGAGTGCATGAGGCCATCCTTGAACATCATGCATTCCCAGTAATAGTTTGAAGGAGATGAAAAAAATTTGTACTTTGGCATAAATTGGCACACAATCGATGAAAAATTCTAAGGTTCGGACGAAAATGAATACCTCATTGCAGTGCATTAATCGCATTAATAGAAGAAAGAAAGAAAAAAACAAACATTTCGATGAAAAAACTCCTCAGAAAATGATTAAAACATGCAAAAGAACACGTCAAAATTCACATTCGATGGGCATTAAATGTGGTTATAAATAGAAAGGGATAAAAAATGAGTAATTAAATAGTAATATGTAAAAGTTTGCACTTTTTTTCACAATTAAAGGATGAGAAACTATAATAGTAATGAGATGTGAAGAAAAAAAAAGAAAATCTTTAAGAAATAGTGAATAATCTCTCATAAAGGATAACGAAATATTTTTCTCTAATATTTTTTATCTGATGTGCATTATTTTATATTTACAACACAGTGTTATAAATTTATTGTTACAATTTATACACAGAGGTGAATCAATAGCATTTTTTCTAATGATAAATAGAAAGACAAATTGACAGGAAACAATGGAAAAAAACAGAACAAGAAAGAATTTGAATATGGATAAATAATAAGGGAACTCATAAACCACAAATACAATAGTAATCAATACAGAACCAGGTACCTTGCAGCAAAATCAAAATACATAGTTACAATAGTTACAAATTTATTACTTTGTTACATTATTTCTTTTTTTATTGTCCATAGACACATATTTTTGTTTAATCGCAAAACTACTCCTTAAACACTTTTTACAAACTACTAACTAATAAGAAATAGATGAATAGATAAATCATGCTGTTGTTGAATAGACATTTAGTTGAAAAGTAAAACAGACAAACACTTCAAGTCGCGAAACCTTGAATTTAAAGAAGGAAAAATGGAATGCTTTGAGGGGAAAAAAATGCCGTGCTGACAGATTGTTGAAGCAACGAATTTCTTTGGGAACCAACTATTGTTGAATAATAATTGTTAAAATTTTTCGACATTGACAGTAAAAATGAGACCAATTTGCATTGGTTCTTCAGTATTGTGAAAAATCGTGTTGTTTCAGCAATTTTTCCCGGTTGAACTTCTTTGAAATTTTCCCCGCAATTCCAATTTGTAAATACAAAAGAATAATTATGAAGAAAAAATATCCACTTGGACAAAAATTGATCGCACTCGAAACAAAGGATAAATCATAAGACAAAATAAAGAGAAACTATTGGAAAAAAGCTTACAAGATGCTGAACAGAAACTTCAGAAATAGAGACATTACTAAAAAAAATGTGGAACATGAATCAATTGATCAAAGCAAATTTTGACATGAGGAAAACATAAACCGCATAAAGACCATCTCGATGGGAAGCAAGGAAATTGACACCAATGAATAATGTTGGAAAGTGTCTTCAAAGACACTTTGGGGACTTTTTTAGGCAGAAAAACCCAAAAAACTGAGACCTATAAATTGACAATGGAATGGAAAGAAATTTTTCAAAATTACGACACACAAAACCAACTGTAAACTCTCGCAAGAATAATATTCTCCCAAACAACTGCAGAAGAAGAAAGAAGAAAGAAAAAAAACTCACCTAAATGCATTGTAATTTGACATGAGAAATCTTTTTTGGAATGTAAAATGGTAAGAAAAAAAGGTGTGAAGACCGAGGAAATTGAGTACAAATCTTCCTGGATTTTGACATGAAAGTGAGATAAAAAAGGATGTTTAAAAAAATAATGTTTTCTAGATTTTAGGAGAAAGCAAAGAAAAAAAAACTGAGTCAAATTATAAGCGGAGAATTTAGCTTGAGAAGAGGAAAAATTGTTGTTTACGCTGTAAAAAAAAACGTGGTGAAGAAGAAGATGAAAAAACGAGAAATATCGATAATATCTAGATAAGAGAAAATAATGTATTTTTGATAACTTATTGTCGGGGGTATAAAGAGTATGATAACAAAAGAGTGAATCACGATTTCCACTAGATTTTTATTAAATCGTCATAACATCAATCTCTGCAAAAGGTGAAAAAGAAAGAAAGAGGAGGAAAGAAAGAGCGAAAAAAGGTATTTAATAAAAACCTAAATGGGAAAGACAAATGATATTTAGCTTATATATCGACATTTATAAATTTTAAAAATTATAATTAAATTATAGAGGCTATATATCGTTGAATATTGTAAAGGATGTAACAAAATGAACTTATTGAATTTTTTATAATGATAAATTGTAATGATTGTATTACAAAAAGAAGAAAAAAAGAGGAGAAAAAATGATGAGAATGGAAATTGTGTATAAAATTTTTTTAAAAACGTTAATTAATTGTGCCAAGACGGGGAAGTTTGTGTGATATGGCATTTAATGTATTTAAAGAAGAAAAAAAAGCGAGATGAAGAAAAAAGAGAAACTAAAGAAGGAGACAAAAAAGAAGAGGAATATTTTTTACAAAAATGAAAAAATGAAAGAAAAGTCTTTGAATATTTTTAAGGCGGCTTATATTTTAACTAATATACGAGCGGTTCGATTTTAAATCGGGATCAATTGTTGATATTATTTTAATGTAAATGAATTTTTTTTTATTGAGAAAATTTTATTTTATTAATTTATTCAAATTTTTTGGATGTAACTTTTTGTTTGTTTTAGTCAAAATTTCAGATTTGCATTTTACCTTTTTCGGATTTTGTCAAAATTTGCGAATTTCAACATCTTCATTTCAAAAAAAAAAAAATATCAAATTCTTTTGGACATGAGGAAAAGATAAGATAAAAGAAAAAAAGATACACAATTGATCCAATGAAAATTGACTTTTATAATACCAAAGTTTTGAGGAAAATGATACAATTATGCCACATCAACACACTTGAAGAATGGAATGACAAGAAATTAAGGGAATTTTTGAGAGAATGGAAGAAAACAGAGACGCCGCGAAGAGCTCTTCCACAGAACCTTCAACCTCTTGACCAACGACTACACAATTAGCCAAGCGTTTTTATCCCAAATTCATTTTTTTCTAGACTTAAAAGTAAAACTTTTGAAAGAATTAAACTTTTTAGATTGTATTTCGATGAATTGTGAGATGGAATAAAGCTAGGAGAAAAAGGGCAAGGAAAAGTATAATTACACGAGGAAAATAATGTTTTTTTTTAATTTGATTTGAATCTTTTTTTTTAAGAGAAAAAAAGGAGAGAATATCACGATGTTGTTCAACGTATCTTTTTTTTTTGTTTGACAAAATGAGAAAAGCAAGCATTTAATGTAATTGTCCTTTTTCAAATTCATCACTGAAAAAAAAGATTTACGTACAAAAGAACAAATTGAAGAAAGCGTGAAGACACGAAAGAAGAAAATATGACGATGAAAAATGTTGAAGAGAAATTTTTTATTACTAAATAAACTGCGTACAAACGTAAGAGTACAAAAGCATGATATTCTTAGTGGAGAAGATGAAAAAAAAACATCATTTGCAAAGAAGCTTTTATCACGGAAACAAGACGATTGAGGAAGACGAAAATACGATTTACTCCCCACAATACAGATAAGGAAAATTTACCAAAATTTTGACTACTATCAGGCAATGATCCAGAGCAAAATTTGGCGTATCGATGACAAAAACAGTACGACAATTCTGACATTAAAAGAATAAAAAAAAAACAATGCGGAGCTTGAAAACTATTAATTGAGAAGCAACTCAAAAGATGAAAAAAAAAATTGGAAGCAAACCCAAAAGAAAATTGATGACACGAGAAAAAAGATGATTTACCCAAAACTGACGATTGAAGACACAAAATGATATTGAAAAGGAGAAATTCAATTGCATTTTGCAAATGGGCTTAAGAAAGATGATTTACAAGTTCATTAAAAGTTTTTCGAAAACAGACGGAACAAAATAAATTGACCCAAGCTGAACTACTACGGAAAAACTAAATACTTAAAGAAAGAAAAAAAGCTACAAAAAAGCTGAATTCGAAGGAAATACGAATAAGTTTCAAGAATAAAAAAATACATGAAAAACTTCATATTGGTCCTTAAATTGCTTATTCTCGATAGACAAAAAAGGAATCACTTTGAAAAAAAAATCATGCATATAAGAATTATATATTTAAAGAGAAAAAAAAATTGACAATTTGATTATATAATTGGGAGTTCAAACACACTTTGAACACACATATAAAAAAAAAGATGATGCAAAAAGAAAACGAATTGAGAAAAATACATTTGGAAAAAGAAAAAAATCTATATGAATTAGAATTGTATTCACCGTAAATTTTTGGATTAAAGCATATTAAGAATGGACTTTAAAAAGTAAGGAAATTCACCACAAAAAAAATTCTATCTATAAAAAAATTTAAAATGAAGCAAAATAGATATCATAAGAAGTACTACTATGTGAAATTAAAGAAGAAAAAATACGAGAGACATTTTTCTTAACCTTTTAAAAATTTTTTTTTGAATGAAAAGTGGACAAAGACAACAAACAGGTTGAGAATCTTTCAATTTTATGATTCATCCACTTTTTTCAAATTTATTCTTTTTTATTGCGCGACAAGATTAAGTATATAAAACATGAGAAAAACCCCAAAATGCAGAAGAATGGAAAATTTACCAATGCATTAAAAAGATGAAAGTAAAAAAGAAAACAAATTGATTGAAAGTAAAACGATAAACTACTATTTCACATTTATGATTATTACTATTTAGTTATTATTTTTGAATAATATGGATTATAAAAATAATAGATTTTATATTTGTTTTAAAGTTGGACGTCACAAATTTGGTATGAACAGCCCATTTAAGTAGAAGGATTGTATTATTTTTTACACTTTGTTTTTTTTTATATAAGATTGAGTTGTGTAGCGAAGATAGAATAAAAAGGGTATTGAAAAGAAATCAATGGATAATCAGCAGGTTCTTACATGATCATAGAAGGATCGGTAGAGGAAATAAGACGTGCGCACGCGTGGATTCAAAAATATCATAATTTGTGACGTTATTCCCGATTTTTGTTTTATAAAGAGATGAAATGAAAAAGAATACTTTTTTTTGTAATGATTAAATATTAAAGCTAATGCCACGGCTTGAGGAGACTGAACTACAACTAAAATTGTCGTGGCATTTTTTTATTATATGCATATTTAATAGTAATAATTTCTTTATGTATTTTTCACTAAATAATAGACATAATAAAATGAAGAAAAAAACGAATGAAAAAGCTTATTTAAAAAGATAAAATGGATGAAAGAAAGCTTGAGGAAAGAAAACTGCTAATGAAAGTGCTGGAGCGCATTTTTATTTAAAGTATGATGATTAAAAATGAGTTTTGAAAAGCGGATGAGTAAAGAGAAGAAAATCATGAATTCTATAATATTATTTACAGTACACAGAGCTGAGAGAAATAAAAAGAAGAAAAACATGAAAAAGGTAAATAATTGTTAATTATGTAATTACAGAGAGAAGCAAAAAATGGATGAAAATAGAATTAAATAGAGAAAAAAAAACATTTAACATATATTAAAGAAAAAGATGAAGCATGAAGGACAGTCAGACAATTAATGGCAGGATTTGCAGGAAACCCAGACTTTTGAATTATTCTTTTTTTTTGTAATAATTATATTTTCGGCGCGTTTTTCTTTGACAAAATCTTCAAACAACATTCTTCAATCCAGAGAAGGCAAACGCAACTGTCAAACAATTCAGGGAAGTTAGCACGCAAGTCTTCGCTGATCTGCCTGTGTGATAATAGTATATATTCCTGATCAGTGATTGGTTTGTGTGATAATTTCCCTGGAAATTGTTAAACAATCCCCGCAGTTTATCCCCGAAGTTGAAAATCGAGGGATTAATCAGGAATAATGAGGAAAAAAAAATCAGAAATGAACGGAAAATAGTCATAGAAAATCAACACTTAACAACTGACTGCCTCACAATATCTTTTTGTGTAATGTATATTTATTTTTTATTAATAATCTAATGATAAGAATAATAATTGATAATATATTTATACTGTATTTGGATTTTTCTACCAGAAAAATACACAACATACACAATATAAAAGTAAAAGAAAAGTGAAAAACCATAAAATGTTAAGAATAAATTGCAAAGAATTGGTGAAACGTAATGAGATGAAGAAGAAAAAAAATCTACTACAATTAAGAAACATAAAGAAAGAAGAAGAAAAAAAACATTTAAAAAATTCACAACACAAAAATTTCACGAAAAAGACGAGAGAATTTTGGATAAAGTGAAAAATATAAAAATTAAACAATAGATTTTGCACAATGCATGTAATATCTTTAATGATTATTTAAAGTGAAAAACTACCTCAAACATTAAAATTAACATTAAATATTAATTAAAGAAATAAAAGATAAAAAATGAAAAATAGTTATGGTGTAAAACGAAATAAATGCAAGTAATCTTATCCACATTTCACATATAAATTGAAAAAGATGAATTAATGAAAAAAATACTTCTGAGAGGAAATGAAAAAAAACTCATGCAAAAAAATTAATTGGTATAATCTTTGGAAAAGTGTATTCTGCTCTTGATAAAATGGAAATTGAAAATTTAAAAATTTGTATCTTTTTTCGTGTTTTTGGGATAAAAAAAATTACAAGTAATATAGTAATATGAGAAAGAAAAAAATAATAGTAAAGCATAAAAAAATATGATAAAGCAAAAAACTTCACACAACATTATTCTAATAGTAATTAATATTAAATGGTAAAAAAAAATGAATGAAAAGATTTAAAGAATGATGTCCATAACTTACTTTCAGAATAAATTTGAAGTTTTTTTGACATGATGTGTGTTTTATTTGTCGTTTCTCGCGCTTTTCGTCCCTTTCCCTGCATTCGCATTCACCCTGTGACTTTGCAGCATTCTTGAAACATTGTGTCGATACAGATTTCCAAGCTTTTTGAGCTTTCCAAGAATATGTTTCATACATTCGGTGAAACATGAAACACGATTGAAACTTTGAAACATGCTGCATCTGTGCTTTCGAGTTTTTAGTACAATCTTGTTATTTGTTTCGTTAGTTCAGTCAGAAAACCGCGGGCAGAATCGCGTTTCCGTTTATTTCGGCAAAATGCAGGCATTTCTGAAGACTGGCAAGACCACAGGACTGACGAGGACACCCAACCAGCCCTCCACAAGTGCTGCGAAGGAGCGAAAAGTAGCCCCACGCCCATGGGTTGAGAAATAGTGAGTGGCGATTTGAGGTTAGGGAGCATTGTGGTACAGATTTCCTGGCTTTCCAGTCGCCCCCGGACGGTGGATGATGTGGTGGAGCAGGGAGAGGTTGTCGCAGTGCTCAAGCAGTCTCTTGAGAGCTGTGAGTTGCCTAATCTGCTGCTATACGGACCGCCCGGAACTGGCAAAACGAGCACAATCCTGGCCGCAGCCCGGCAACTATTCGGCGATCTCTCTAAGGATCGCATTCTGGAGCTCAATGCGTCCGATGAACGAGGAATAGCGGTGATTAGGACGAAAGTGAAGAATTTTGCTCAACTGACTTGCAGCTCCGTGAGGCCAGAGTGAGTGCAGACAAGATTTGATTGCCACTGGATTCGATGGTTATTAATTTCTTTCAGCGGGAAGCCTTGTCCACCATTCAAGATTATTATCCTGGACGAAGCGGATTCCATGACTCACGCTGCCCAGGCGGCCTTGCGTCGCACAATGGAGAAGGAGAGCGCCACGACGCGCTTCTGCCTCGTGTGCAACTACGTCTCCCGGATAATTGAGCCCATCACGTCCAGATGCACCAAGTTCCGCTTCAAGTCTCTGGGTCACGACAAGATCGTGGAGCGCCTGAAGTTCATTTGCCGCGAGGAGGGAGTTAAGATCACCGATGAGGCTCTGGACGTGATAATTGAGTGCTCCGGAGGGGATTTACGACGCGCCATCACAGTCTTGCAGTCCAGTCACCGTCTTTTCGGCACCACAGAAGAGCAGATCTCGAAGGATCACGTGTTGGAGATGTCTGGCATCATTCCTCACCACTACTTGGAGGACTTCCTTGAGATTTGCCGCTCTCAGGACTACGCGAAGCTCGAGAAGTACGTGGAAGATCTCTCTTTTGACGCCTACAGCGTTGGTCAACTTCTCGAGCAGCTCAATGACTTCGTAGTCAACCACGGAAGACTCACCGGAAAGCAAAAGTGTATCATTGCGGAGAAGATCGGCGAGTGCTCCTTCCGGCTGCTCAACGGAGCGTCAGAGTATCTCCAGATTATGGATCTGGGATGCACGGCGATCGTAGCATTCCAGAACAATCCCTGAATTAAAACACACTTGCATTGCCAAAAAACAGTTTATTTGCGGTGAATCGCAGCCAGAGAGCGTCAGGGAACAACTTCGAAGTCATCATCGTCCCGGCGTCGCTTCGTGGGCATTCCCAGGACGTCGTCATCCTCAACCTTGATCATCGCCGCCTCGTCTGAGATTATTATTGATTGCTGGCCAGATTTGGCCTTCGTCGCCTGCTTTGCCGAGCTGAACTTGAACACGGGCTTCGGGATGCTCACCATTTGTGTCTTCGGCACCGTTGTGATGGTCTGCGGACGCTTTATTGTCGAATTTGCGGACGCGCCCAGCTTTCCCGGCGGCTTCGGTGGGTTCGGCCGGGCGTCAATTGCCGGCTTGGTGACTTTCTTCGTCGGTGCTGTCGCCTTCAGCTTGTAGTTGCACGACGACAGACAGTAGCGATCCGGCGGCAAGCGCAGCCCGCAGTGGGGCTTGATCAGTGGAAGCGGAGCGGTGTTTCTGCTGCGCGCAAGATCCAGCAGCACATCCCGCGGCGGAGGACTCGTGAATGTCTTGTCCAGCACCATCTGCGACGCCAGCTTTACGTCCTCTGGATCGATGAACTTCTTCTTGGCGTGATTGGCATAGATTTTCGCATCGTCCAGGATGCAGGTCACGTATCCTGGGCGAAAAAGAAAAACATAAACAACGTGTAAGGTTAGGGAGTTTTTTCTGTGGCTTTTCACTCACTGTAAGTGAATTCCAGGAGCTGATTTATCACTCGTGGCTCGTAGTCAGTTACGCCCAACTCCTTCAGAATGGACATGATGACCTGGGCATCTTTGGGAATGTGTTTCACATTATTTATCGTTTTGTTTGACGACATTGCGAACGCGATGAGCAAAAAATCCCCAGACAACTGATTAGTGCCGTGAATTTCCGCGAGAAGGCGCTGAGCGGCGGAGGGGAAATCCCGGTGAGGCGCTTCCCCCGTCGAAATAGAGCTACTTGTCAGTGCACTGTGGGAGCCAACGTCAATGGTTGGGGCTCAGCCAGCTGGGATGTGAACAGAAAAGGACGTGCGTTGTGCTCATATTCCCTCATCCTGAAAAAAGTGCAAATAAAATCAGATGTGTGGCTTTTAGAGGTTTGTGTGCATTGTAAATTACACCACTATCTATCACGCTATCATTATTTGGCACTTGTGCGATTATGCGATTGCCGACAAGAGCGCATGGAGGAGATTTGTGTTTGCCTGCGGAGCATATTTGTTGTGTGAAGTCTCGTGGGGGCCATGAAGACGAAAGCGCCCTCCACGCGCCAGATCAATGTCATCAATGTTCGGTATTCGTCCTTTTCCCGGGCCAGTGGAGGCTGACAAAGGCAGCCTCGAGCCCTGCGATGACTCAGAATGATCGCGTGTGTGGCTGTAAAATTATGAGCAATCGCACATTAATGAATTGCCCCACGATGATGTGCATTGATTCTTGGGGGCTTTCGGTGTGTCTGTGGGACGGCCAGAGTGTTGGCACATTCACTGGGCATTAGTCGCCTGCCGGCAATCGTGAGTTGCTGTTCAGCCTTGCTTCTTGGCTGTGTGTTAATTCCAAAAAATCCGCTCACTAAAAGCCAATCCCGCCCAAAGTGAGAAACTGCGCAGCAGAAAGTCATCACATCTTCAACATTTTCATTTCCTTTTGATTTTTTTTTCATTCTAGCCGGAAGAATATTTGGAGTGATTTAGTGTAGATATTCTCCTCACATTCTTCAGTGTCTCTATTTTTAGTTCTGTTACCCAGTAAGCATGAGGTTTGTTTCAGTTTCTCGTGAATTAAAATTCTATCACATTTCCACAATATGCACTGTTGATGACTTTGTGACCTTTTTCCACCGTGATATCCCAGTGAGTCGGAGGATTTGCTGCGGACGGAGGACACTGAGATTGTGGCGGAAGCTGCTGAGGAAGCCATGCCGATCGTCAGCAAGGAGAAGACGCCCGATGAAGCGGACTCGGCGGTGGCCAAGACCGGCGACAAGGGCATCTTCTCCCTCATCTTCACCGTGGCGAAGAGAGTGGCCGTCGTCAGCGTGATCTACTTCGTCGGCTACATGGGATGGTCGGTGGCGTGGCTGATAGCGCCTGTGATCCTCTCCGTGGCGCGCACGGAGATGCGCAAGAAGACCGATCTGAGGCGATCCATTGCGAAGGCATCGGCAATTGCGACGGAGAGGGAAATGATCCTGGCGCGAATTGACGAATTGCCAGCCTGGGTGAGTATTTGCGATCTTCCATAATTCGCCCCGATGATGTCATTCACGTGTGTTTTCTTGAAGGTCTACTTCCCCGACATCGAGCGCTGCGAGTGGGTCAATAGGATTCTGAAGCAAGTGTGGCCGAATGCGAATCACTACGCCAAGAGTCTCATCAAGAACACCATCGAGCCGAATGTGCAGAAGGCTCTGGCCAACTACAAGCTCAACAGCTTCAAGTTCGACCGCATGATCCTCGGCACAATTCCGCCGCGCATTGGCGGTGTGAAAGTGTATGACAAGAACATCTCGCGCAATGAGATCATCATGGATTTGGATCTCTTCTATGCCAGCGACTGTGATATCAACTTCAATCTGGGCGGCATGAAGGGTGGCATCAAGGACTTCCAGATACACGGCATGGTGCGCGTGGTGATGAAGCCACTGATCAACAAGATGCCCCTCGTTGGTGGGCTGCAGATCTTCTTCCTCAACAATCCCAACATTGACTTCAATCTCGTGGGCGTGGTGGATCTGCTGGACATGCCGGGACTCAATGACATGCTGCGGAGGATCATCATTGAGCAAGTGGGCGCAATTATGGTGCTGCCGAACAAATTGCCCATCAAGCTCAGTGACGAATTGCCAGCTGTGACACTCAAGATGCCCGAGCCAGAGGTAAACTATACCAGCTCAATCCCTGTCGCTATCGCTTTGATGGCTGGCTTATCTTGCGTGTGAATTAGTGTGTTTGAGACTGAACAATATCGTATATCATGCGCGCGGTCGCGTATTGTTTGAGCCAGATAAGATGCGCGGCTTTCGAATTATGGCACGAGCAACAACATTGATAATGTGACAAATTGTATTTGAGGAAAGTGGAGGAAATGCCTCAAGATTGGTTGGAACATTTTGCGGTTTTTATGATAAACATGCTGAGCATAAATGTGTGAGTCGGATTACAATTTTAGACACTGCCTGCACTGTGATTAATAGAGTCAAAAGGCAGAATAGCAGAAGACGCATAATCTCGATTTTATTACAAATAGTAGGAAAATAGAGAGAGACAGAGATTTCGGGACTTCTTGGCGAATTGCTTGCGGTGATTATTCACACTGTCAGATTTGACCTGATTTTGAGGAAATTCATTGTAGATGTTTTCTTAATTGATTTCAACATGAAATTTCGATTTCTTTCCGATTAATGTGGGATGTTGGTTTCACTCTAACTCGTCTCTTTAGTGCACATTGAGGCGAGATTGAACAATAACAATGACTACACATCTTCAATGTTTTCACACAAAACATTAAGCATTTTCCGTGAAGAGCCATGAATTCATGCTCCTCTTATCTCTCTCTATTGCCCGGCATTTTCATGGTATTTACATAAATTTTCATATAGTAAAGCATTTTTGTTACACGTACAATGGACGTGTAATGAAGTGAGAAAGAATCATTTACAAGTTAAGTAATGCTTGTTTCCTTCTGAACGAGCATTTGCTCACGATTGGAAAGAGAAGAAAAAATTGAAATGAATGAGAGCAAATAAAATAATAATTGCCCTTGTGGGTTGTCTGAAGGTCGACAAGGTGAAGTTCCTTCTTTCCTTCAATGTGAGCTTCTTAGCTTTTTCATTTTCACACAAAAAAACTGTCCTTTGTATTGATTTTAATCGAGTGTCTCGTTGGTTTCTTGCAGGGTGTTCTTCGTGTGCACGTGATGGAGGCGAAGGATCTGATGAAGAAGGACATTTCGGTGCTCGGCAAGGGAAAGTCCGATCCGTATGCCATCGTGACTGTGGGCGCTCAGCAGTTCCGCACGCAGATCATCGATAACAATGTGAATCCCAAGTGGGACTTCTGGTGTGAGGTAATCAATATTGTCCGATTAACCATTAAGTTTATTAACATTGATACTTGTGACGCTTCCCAATTTGATTGATTGACAAACACCAAATAATTGCAGTTGAATATTTTCTTTTTTTTTCTGAAGTAAAAAATACCATTTAGCGTCGGAAAATATGATATGCAATTGAGTGCGACGATGATAAAGTGAATTCTAATGTTTGTTGGTGGGGAAAAGCGAAAATAGGACGCGCATGAATTAATTTCTTTTCCTTTACCACTTGTTATATGCTTTTCAATTAATTTCCTTTTCATTATTTTCACTTCAATTTTGATATCGAAATCGTAGATGTTTTTTTGTCATTACACGAAAAGAAGAAAGATGTTTTAGATGATATCTTTTATCGTGTTGTTTCTTAATGCGTTATTCCACTTGTTTTTCATTTGAGTTGAAGTTATCGACATTTATTGATAAGAATTGCATGCAATTTCCTTTTTTAACACTGTTTTTTGGAGGGAAATAGTTAAAATTGACGGTCAGAGGACTATTTAGTCCAAATCTGTCCTATTTTCCCCTAAAATTGAGTTGAAAAAATGAGGAATTAGCATGCAGAGCAAGTGGAATAACGGCCTTAGATGAGAGAAAATTCATAGATGAAAATCTTGATTGGATTTATCCACAAGATCTCTCTTATTATTTCTCTCTCTCGCTCAACACTGTCGCACAAGAAATACTTTTCCAACATTGTCTCTTACACTACAATTTGTACTTATATTAGGATGACTACACGTAGCTCTAACATTTAAGCTGTATTTTTATTACCATTCTTTTGATGAATATCTCTGTACGATGAATATTGCGGTATGCTTTTTTGCATTATAAAATCCAAATACCAAACATAGGCATCGATCGAAAGTGGGCAGTATGTGGAAATCGAGATTTTCGACAAAGACGACACGAGTGATGATGAATTTTTAGGAAGGTGAGAGACACTCTATTCCAAGGGCTTTGTATTGCATTTGTAAAAAAAAGAATCTAACAACCATTTAGTGAAACACACACACACACAAAGTAGAATTTGAATGTGGCAAAATCACGGAGAGAGCTTGGCAGGAGGAGAGCAAGATAAAGTTGTAGGTGCTTTTGTGCTAGAAGGAATGATTAGTGTATCTTTACCAGTAGATTACTTGCATGGCTAAACACTCACATTCTCTATCGCTTTAACTGTCCTAACATCTTTTTTGACTCTTTTGCACAAACACACTGTATTTGATGATCATTTTATAGAAAGGAATTATGCACTGATTTTTATTTGATAGATTCTCTCTTATTAATTTTCCCGTGATCAGTCAGAGATTGACGCTGGGTGCGGCCAGGAGGTGTGCTTGGATTTGTGGGATTATGATCCAGGATTTCCTGGCGTTCAAAATGACGATTTCTTAGGCAGGTGTGATGAATGGGACTATCTCTTCTTCTTGCGTTTCCATTTTTCTTTTTGTTTAGAGTTCTTTTGCTTTCGTTATGATTTTATGTTGTTTTCACTCTTTTGTACAGTTTTGTTTTCTGATTTTGTACAGTTTATGTTAAACGAAAAAGAGGTTTCGCTTCATCTCGTCATGACTTTTATCTGTATATTTTCCATCATTTGTGAACCTCTTCACTTGATTTTATGGACATAAGGTTTTTCCAGACATTTCACGTGATGGTGAAAAAAGAACAGACAGAAAATTTTGACACAATTTGTCACTTTTACTAATCATTTATAAGAATTGAGAGATTTTCACGGAATTATCTTTAACACAATGCAGTGAATCACTTGAAATTTGTTTCTCTATTTAACATTCTCAAATGACTTCATGTCGTTCAGTTTAATCACAGTGATTCAGTCACAATTCCGTGACATAATGTAAAAATGTATATTTTGAAGGCAGTGAGAAACTCTCAATTATCGCCGTTTGAGATGGTATTTAATTGCAAATGGTGAAGGAGAAGCTATGTAATAAATTGGTTGCAGGCCTGTATTGATGTGTCTCATCACACAGTTTTTGGTGTGAAGCTTTTCGACTGGGACAGAACTGGCGAACACGATCCACTAGGAAGGTATATTAACTCTCAATGTAAATAACATTTAGCGAATAGCAAATTCGACCATTCTTTCCCATCCCTGAGGCATATTTGTTTGTGTAAAACAAGTATTATAAATAATTTGTATAGCTTTGAGCGCATTACTAACCAATATTAACGTGTAAATTAGTTGCATTTGAGTGTAAAATTTGCGCGCTTAACTCTTTTTGCTGTGTGGCAGAGGAAGATTATAAAAAAAAATTGTAAATTGATTTCTCATTGAAATTGTTGCTCATTAATGCTGTGTATTTTCTGGTATTTCTCCATGCGAGAGGAATGCTTTTCAACAACAACACATATTTACAAATATTATTGCGTACAAATGTGCTAAATGTCTCTTCTCTGTGGGGTGTTTTTTTTCTTTTGTAGAGCAACAGTTGAGATCACCAGCGTGGTGAAGAAAGGACAAGTCGACACGGTGAGATAATTCACTCGATTTGGCTATTAACACAAGTGATAAACACTGATGTTTTGTGGTTTTTTTTCTGCAGTGGCTCACGCTGGAGAATGCGAAGCATGGAATGGTTCATCTGAGACTGGCTTGGATGACACTCAGTACGGATCGAAATGACCTTTCGGCGGCTCTGGTTGAAACCCAGTTGCTGCGCGTGACGTCCATGAGCACAGCTCTGCTGACAATCTTCATCGATTCGGCCAAGAATCTGCCACAGGCGCGTCCGCAGAGCAAGCCCGATCCCTTCCTGATGGTGAATGTGGGCAAGAAGCAAGAGCAGACGGCGGCACAGATGCGCACCGATGCTCCGGTGTGGGAGCAGGGATTCACCTTTCTGGTGAGCAATCCGGAGAATGACAGTGTTCAGCTGAGGATCATGGATCAGAAGACGGAGAAGGAGTTGGGAAAACTCGCTTATCCGCTGAGTTCTTTGCTGGCCAAGGCGAATATGGATGTGATTTCGGAGCCTTTCAATCTGCAAAAATCCGGTCCCATTGCGAAGATCATCTTGTCCATGTCGCTGAGGATTCTCCGGAATGCACCCAACACGGAGGACGAGGTGGAGTCCACGGGCAGTGATGATCTGTCGCACACAAACTCCGTGAAGAGTGCGCAATTGTCGAAGCAAGACTCACGATTGTCCGTGGGAACGAGTGGTGATGCGCCATCGTCGGTGCAAGAAGAGCCCTCCGCTGTGTCTTCCACAGCCACTGTGTCTTCCGCAACACCACCAGCCACTCCTGAGTACCGGGAGTCCACTCTGATCCATCGCACCGCCAGCACAACGTCTTCCGGCGGTGTCGCTGGGTTGGGACGCATTCAGCTGACGCTGCGCTACAGCGTGACGCGCCAGAGATTGATTGTGATTGTGCACAAGATCATGAACATCCCACTCAAGGATCCGTCCAACATCCCCGATCCCTACGTGAAGCTGTACCTTCTGCCCGGACGCTCGAAGGAGTCCAAGAGGAAGACAACTGTGGCCAAGGACAACTGCAATCCAGTGTACGACGCCACGTTCGAGTACATCATCTCCACGGCGGAGCTGATCGGGTCAGAGCTGGAAGTCACCGTGGCCACGCAGAAGGGCTTCCTCAGCGGCGGCAGTCCCGTGATTGGACTCGTGCGCGTGCCGCTGAACGACAGCGAGATTTCGCAGCAGGGAAGCACTTCGTGGCACGATCTGCTGCCCGAGAACTACGAGTAGGGCATTGTGTGCTTAAGCGAAATGCTGCATTTTGTGACGCTCTCAGAGATCGTCACGAACAAGAGAGATTATTATTGGAAATCAGGAGCTTGTCAAAATTATTCAATTATAAACTGATATACTCGTGGGTAAATTTTATCAATTTTAAAGATACATTTTTTCCATAGGCTTTTTTTGTCCAAAATTGTTGTTAAATGTTTCCTTTTGGGAAGACGAATTTAGCCAAAACGCCAAGATTGCTTAGTAAAATGTCAAAGAATTTATTGGTCTTGAAACATTGATAAATGTTATTAAAAAAAAATTGTTAAAATACGCAATTAAATTTAATCAAATCAATTATGTAATTTTCCATAATTTCCAAAATCAAAGAAATGATATTGTAGCTTAAGAAAATTGCACATAACTTTCTTATCACCGCACACAATCTGGTTTCTTTTATTGCACGCAATGAGGAAGTGATATTTAAAATTGGATTTTACTTATCTTCGAGTATTTCCCCATCCCATGTTGTGTAAACAAATTAATAAGATCTCTGTTGAGAAACTCTGTGTGCTTTAGAAGAGAGGAATAGCCTACAATCGTGTATTGGGAATCTAATCAAAAGCTAAAAGTGTACCTACAAGTGCTACAGTAGAAAGTGTGAAAAAAGAAATCTAGGGAACTTTGACAATTTTTATTTCATTTTTGCTATTTGTGTATTTCTCTTATAAATACCATATATTATGTGAATGCCAACTTCTCTCACTGTCCATGTCAGATTTATAAGGAGAATTATATTTTATTTTACAGAAAGATGAAGGAAAAATTTATAGCATTTAGTGAAGATGAAGAAGAAAAAAAAAAGTTTACACAATTTATTATCAACAAGAGCACTTTGGAATTTGTGACACAACCATTTACAAAATGGATTACTATTATATTTAATGATGATGAATAATATATAATTGTTACGTGCCTACAAAAAAAATGTACTCAATTATTATAAAGTTCGTGTTCATAAGGAAAATTGTCCTTTTCTCTCAATTGCGGAACTTAAGAGAAATGAGGTCTCTTAAGAGCATGTTTTAAGAGCTTCTTCGGCGCCACTGTCTTCTTGCTTCGTCCATTTTTCCGCCAGAGCGCATGACAGTTCGACATCGGGGTGACGTCACTCAAAATAAAGCCATTCTGTGTGATTTGTTTTGATGAATTTATCCACTTTTCTCGAAAATCCCACACTTTTCCCCGCTTCTCACGTGATAAGGTGACTGTGTGGCATCAGTGAGTGCCCAACACAATGGATTTATGGCCATTTGATAGGGATTCCATTGCGAAAATGTGCCTAAATGGTGTGATTGGTTGACAGAGCAGTTGTGTAAACAGAGAAGAAAAAAAACACAGAAAAACAAATGGCTGATTCTTGTGAACGCGATAGCGTGAGGTGGTGAGAAAAAGTTGAAATTTCCCTCGAAAACTGTTGAGAAAATCCGCGAAAAGCGGGAAAAAAGTTGCAAAGTGATTCATTACGCAAGTGTGTGATAGAAAAGCCAGTGATCAAGGGCTCTTTCGGGGTGAATTTGGCTATATTTGCACGACCACATTGTCTCATTGTGAAATTGTCTTTCTTTGCAAAACAACTCAACTCTGTGTTTTTCTCCAATTCACGCCACAATAATTGGTTAAATTTAGTGCTGGCGAGCGGAAAAACCCGAGAGGTGACACTTATTGAGTGTGTTCTCGCCTTCTGCCACCCCTTCTGCTGGGGCTTTGGGGGCTGCCAAAGACGGTGGTGAGATCTGGTGAACGCGCGAGTGCCAGTGTGTTGAGGCTCCTGTGGCCTACCATGGACTTTGGGGGCGCCCCCTCGATCGAGACAGTGACATAAAGGTAGGCAAGGGGAGTGTGGAATGTGGTGCGGGGGAGCGGACGCTGAGCCAGTTTGTTGTGTATTTGGTTTTGACCCTCAAAATGGCGAACCTTCAAAAACATATGTTAATGACACTTAACAAGCTGGCTATCCGTGTGCACAGAAATTCAATTCACTTTTTTATACTCTGCCGACCATTTATTTCTCATGATGATGATGATTCTCCACACAAAAAGTCAGCATCATCGCCTATAAATATACATAAACGTGGCTGTGGTTGAGCGACATCGCGACTGGCTCATTAGGCTGGGCGCTGGTGTGCGTGAGCGACAATGTGAATTGGTGTGATGTTATTTAACTCTGGCGATTCCGGAAATCATACAATTAAACCTTACACAATGTCATGATCGTATGAGTTTACACTTTTTTCCCATCCTCCGTTCCCACACGCCGACGATGGCTGGCTCAGCGTGTGTTTCTATGGGCAAAGGGGGTCGAATTGGTTACAAAGTGGCGCCAAATTGTTGTTATGGGTTCTGACTCCTCTTCTCACTCACTCTCTCTCTCTCTATAAATATAAATTAAAATTCATCCAATTTGTCGTCAATCGCACAGACACAGTCGCAACGGCTTCAGCTCAGCTGAGATGGGAATTGACTCTGGAATTCATTGATGGTCCAAGTGACGTCAAATGTTGACTCCAATTCGACACACGCACACGCGCGCGCTCTCGAGCTCTTTTCTCATCTCCGCGCTCTTATCACGCTCTGTCCTCAAAAAACTAATCTCGGGCAATTTTGCATGATACAGCGCGCGACATTATGTAAGACGAGAGGGAGGGAGAGAGAGAGAGAGTTCAGAGACTGTACAACTTGCAGAATTGACGGTGACAAAAGGAACAAAGAAGCGCGATCAGCTTTTGGGGCCACCCTCTGAATTCTCCTCAATTGACGGGGAGAATGAAAATAACATTTTTCGCACAAACACACAAGAACGCGGGCGGTCGGGTGATTCTCACAGCTGAAAGTGCGCCTTCTCTCGCCACTGCTATAGTATGCAAACGACTGAGGAATTATCGTCTATTTCGCAATATTAGCGTTCATTGTCAGATTGAGGATTTAATTGATTACACTACAATTATATTATATTCCATTTGATTTGTCTGAATGATGCGAAAGTTGCACAAGAGCAAATAAGACATTAATTTGTGCCATTTCTGCTTCAAACTTCTCTAGAGAGATTTTCTGAAAAAAAAATTTACATTCCATAAATCTCAGTTATCAATAATCTTATCACTCATACTCGCTGACATAGTAATATTGCGAGTTTCTCTCTGTGGAAAATGCATTAAGTGCTGATTCTAAATTTAATTTTAGGCCGTTTAGCCAATCAATTGAAATAGATGATGATTAACAAAGCGTTTACGAACTAATTTCAGTCGCTTATCTAAACCACTAATACAGAAGAGTGTTTGACTGGAACAAAGAATAAGTGTGTATATTTTCACGTGGTTGACAGAAGAATCACATGAACTCACTTCTTAGGTGTGTTTTATCAGTTTGATTTCTTGGCAAATTTTTACAACTCGTGATGGTTGTGTTCGTGTGTGCTTCAGAGAGAGACTCTCAAAGAGCCTCACGGGAAACACATTCGACAAAATAACACTTTGCAAATTATACATTTGTTTTCTTTCTTTCAAGTCCACTCTTTGTTAATTTTCCATTTATACTTTTTCTTTCTTCGAAGCCCATGCTGAATATTAATGCTTTTTTTCTTTTTCGCTCTCTCTCTCTCTCGTGCTGCGGGAGAGATTTTATGGGGGCACTTTGCAGATTCTAGAAGAGTCTGTCGTCTCCCCATTTTGGCATTTTTTATGCAAGAACACACACGCCATGGAAAGTTTCGTTGGTAGTTAGCAATATAATTTACGTGATTTTTCCTCACCCAGAGAATTATAGTTAATGTATCTCTGGTTTCGTAGAAGAGCACATCGCATATATAATAAATTTTGAATGTGAATAGAGGAATAGTATAATATTTTGTATAGTGAATTAGAAAGAAGGAAGAGGCAGAATGAAAAATTCATATAAAATAAAGAGCCTGAAGCTCTGCTCGAAGGTCGACGGTGTGTGTTTACTGAAGTGTGTCTGAGGCAATTCAGCATGATTATTGGATCATTTGGTATTTGAATTAATTGTCATGACTTGACACACTGTTGCAATCAATGATGATCACTCAATAATATTGGAAATGTCTCTCATTTGGGGGGGAAATATTGTGGTTCTCTCGGTGTTTTCTCACTCGATGGCGTGTGAAGTGTTTGATAACAGTTTGGCAATCACTGATTTATTTGCACTTTTTCCACCGCACAACTCGATTAGCGCATTCAATAAAGTGGCTGATTTGCAATTCAATTTTACTGACTGAATATATTTTTTATTTTCCTGAACCACTCTCATGTGTTGTATCTATAATCGAATGGTGAATACATGCAAATTCTCTCCTATTTTGATTTCTCTTGACAAATTAAAACATTTACTGAGATTAAATGGTGAAGAAGATGTTGAAGAGAGACAATGAATAACATTTTGTATTTACATACAAGAAGACGCGACGCTCGCCATCAAGAGGGAAAATTTAGCAATGTATTTTCATTGGAAAAACACGCCATGTGTTTATGCAAGTAATTTACATAGTAATGTTTCATACAAAATACTCCTTCTTGACTTTGACTCTAAGCATTGCAATAATTCGCAATGCTTCTCTGGCAAAATGTGAAGAAAAATCTGGTTTTTTTTGTGTTCTGTTGGCAAAACTTATGAATTATGACGCTGTGAGAAATTCTTGGCAGAAAAATTTCAAAGACACACACTTGATGGACATTTTGTCTGTGAAGAAACTAATCATATTGCTAAGTATTTTATTAATAAATATTGAAGAATGTACAAAACATTCGAGTTAATTGATGTAAAAGAAAATTGCTCTCTTTTTTCTCATGGTTTATTTTTAAAATTTTCGGTTGAATGCCTTCTAGTTCATGTAAATTTCCTCTCATGTTTTCCCCATTCTTTCCGCACATGAGGAGAAAAAAGGAGAGCAATCATCACTTTTATTTGTAGAGAAATCTGTGAGGAGTTGAAATACTGTGTGTTTGCCACTCTTATTTTCCTGTTTTTGTGGATTTTATAAACAACCACAAATACGCGAACTAATCCAATTGTTTGCTGAATTTTCTGCCATGCTATGCTGAAAAGTTGTTTGTTCATCTTTCCACCAATGTGCCTCATTGGTCTTGAATTTCGTGTGACATTTTGAAAAATAATATGCTTACTTGGCTGAAATCCATTTACTTAGCGGGAATTTTTCTCAATGGACTTCCTTATCAGTATTGTTTTCTGCACACCAAACCCAAAACATTCACAGACATAGACGTGATAATGGCGATGCGGGGGTGAAATTCAACGCCAATTGATGGGAAGACGCTGCGGAGGGAAAAGACTCGTGGGTGGTGTTTGATGTGATACGGAAAGCCAAAGGAGAGAGAGAATCGTATATTGATCAAGAAATTCCTAAATGGGAAACATTTCCACATGATGTGACGTAGAATGTGACTCCATGGGGGTGTTTTGTACATATATAGATGCCGATGTCTTCAGCTCTGGGTGTGTGTGGGTGGATTCAAGTGCGGTTCTGCTGATGCTTTGGGGACAAGAAAAAAATTTGTCCATCGAGAGTGAAGAGCGAGTAAAAGTCAAAGTTTACTGGCTTCTCCGTTTCAATGGCAAATGCTGTCCGAAACGCTGTGATTCTCCGCTAAAGAGCGCGTCCTGAGTGTCTGGTGATTGGTCATGAGACAGCCTTCAGCATAATATATTCACAGCTGAGCCATTTGATTTAAGGTGAGAGGCTTCGAGTGTGTTAGTTCTCTTCTTTTTTCACCTCTTCCACCGCCACAGAAGTTTTTCCCACTTTTTCCTGTTGCCCCAACTAGTGTTTGTGGGTGTGTGTGTGCGTCTCTGTTGTGTGGATGTGTTGTGAAACATTTTTAATGATTGTACAAGGTCAAAAGTGGAAAAAATCTTATATGTGTCGCTCTATGACTTCCCGGTTCAAAATAGCCCAAAAACCAGAGTTTATGTCGACGATGAAATGATGTAGGAAGAAAAAGGAGGAAAAAACTGTGCGAAAAAAATGTGGAAAAGACACTCAATAGACAAAAGTGATTATAAATAAGTTTAAGACGTTCCTAAAAGAGTTCACAAAATCCACAACAAATAAATTATAAATAAATACACTTGGCCAAAATAAAGGCTGTGCTCGTCAAGTGTTGTGACTTTTCGTGGTTGAAGTGGAAAATATATTTGTTATCCTTTAATTCATCTCTGTTTGACTATATTTTTATTTTGGCAAATGACGAAGTGAAATGTTCACGATGAAATTTTTGGGTAAAAGGAAAATCCATTGTTGTTCTTGTGTTTCTTTATATTTTTCCTTATATTAAGGTACAAAGAAAACAAAACTTGTGGCGCTATTTCAGATAATTTTATAGACGCTTGACACGAAATATTGTATTCTTGGAAAATATAATGGATTTGTGACCTAATTTGAGCAACTCCTTAACTTTTCAATGAGTATTTCACTTTATATCACATTTTTTTTAATTGTTTGATTAGTTTTCAAGATTTGAGGTCATTGCGTTGTGTCTTATCGACAGTGAAGTGAATTTAAAATAAAAAATGGGTTTTTATCACAAAAATTGTGGTGCGAATGTACAAAAAAAGTGCATGAGAAAGCTTTTATTGCTATTTCATCATCTTCTGCAGCTTTGAAATTGTCATGTGGGGGAAAAAAATGTAAGCTTGAAAATATGCAGATCAGTGATTTGATTTCCAGTTTATGTGAAGGATAGATTGTAAAGCACTTATTATTGATCTCTCTAATCTGTCTTCAGGAGCTCAACACCACGATGTTGTGTGTTTCTGCCAGTGAAACGGAGAAATATCGATAAGTTTATCAACTCTCTGGGGCTCTTTTTCGCCTTGACGAGAGAGGCTTTCCTCTGACGCCAGCAATGTGATCCAATGAATTTGACTTTCTGCTGCAAGAGTATTTCTATATGTTTTAATGTTCGGAAGATTGTGTTGAGTGTATGTGAGAATATTTTTAATAGTCGCTCTCACACTTGATGTCTAATGATGGCTGATGATGGGAGTGAAAGAGAGGCGGTGAAGCGTGGGGAGTGTATCAAGTATTGCTACGTATATTTATCTCTCTGTGTAGTATTGTCAAGGTCATATCATGTTATGAGTCTCGAAAATGTTTTCCTTTTTTCGTACAACCTCCTCAACACTCCCCTCTCATGCCGCGCGCCTCGTCGCCCAGCTGTGGGTCGTCCGTTGGGAGAGATTCTGTGCACGCGCGCGTACAGAGTATGCGTCATTCCCCACAAGATGCTTGTCTCTCCCCTATTGTGTCCCACTCTGTCCCTCTTGGCGCAGCACACAATATCAGTGCAGAGTTGCGCTCTCTCGCTCCTGCCCACGGAGTGCCTGGGCATCGTGGTGTGTTTTTGTTTACACTCTGGCTCACTCCGTGTCCCACATCTTTTGGCAAAGTGGTGGGGCGCATGAGATGAGTTCCTGGCCAAAGTTCACGATGCGGCGGTTTGCTGTTCAGAAAGAAAGAGAGAGAGAGAGAGAGAGAAAAATCACACTTTTGCGTGTGCGCCGCAGAGTCAGAAGGAAAGAGGCACTTGAGATTGAAAATGCCATCAGTGTAAAAACACTTTCGCGAAGAAATCAAAAACAACAAATTGGCGGAAGAGAGAGATAGTGAGTTGTGCAGACAGAGGAGGATAGTGTGTGACAGTGCTGCTGATTCGATGTGTGTGAGAGTTAGTGAGGAAAAAGGGGAGTTGGTGTTGTTTACATTTTTCGTGTTGTTCAGTCACGACGGAGCGAATTAAAATGAAGACGTGTAAACAAATTGAGCCGGAAGACGTGTGTGGGAAATATCACTGAATGAGCAGATGCACAAGGAGAATCAGAGAAGAAAAGTGTGAATTTTGTTGGAATTGGAAAAACAACACCACTTGAGCTGCTAATTCGACTGTTAAGAACTTTCTCAAACGAATCCACAGGACAAAGTGTGCGTGAGTGTGAAAGAGAGAGAAGGGATTAGAGTGCGAATTATTGTGGAAAATCCCCCGATTGAGTGTGACTCAATATCTATGACTGGGTGTTGGAGATTTTTCCAGTGAAATGAAAATATCGTCTCTCCTTGTTGGTGAGAAGTGGTTTAGGTCAGTGAATATTTTTCCGTGTTTGTGTAAAATACAATTTGGCGGAATAGTGTGAGGTGGAACTGTTTGTTGTCACACTATTTCACTATTTTCCATCTGACTTTTTTATGTATAGTTGCGCCTCTACGAGTGTTTATGTGTAAACAAGTTGAGAAAAATAACAACTGAATGAAATAAACTCACGTGTTTCATGCCTCTGTTCCATATGAAACACTCAACAGTGATTATTTGTTATTGTGTTTCTATCGCTAGTGACAATATTCATTGTTATTTACCGTGGTGAATTTTGCAAACGCATAACAGAGAGGATAAGAATTTCTGCGGAAAAACTTGTTTTTTATTTCCTCTTTAAAAACACACACACATTCTCAAATATTGTGCCACTTGAGGAGGATTTGTTTTGACGTAATTGATGATTCTATCGAGGAAATCTGTGACTCTCGAAGAGGAAAAATGTCTCTCCATTTTGGGTATGTGTGAAATTGGTGAAATAAGGACAAGTCAAGTTAACCATGCGTGATAGGAGTTGCCTTCCTTTTTGGCCATTCCTCGACACGTGCGTGTGTACAGAGAATTCTTCTATGTTATAAGAATTGCGTCACTTGAATGTTTTCATTTGAAAAATTCTATTAAAAAAAATTCTTTATTGGATTCTGGGTGTGAATTTTTCCTCGAACTTGACGCTTCGCACATTTCCACAGCGTAGGAATGTTGTACCTGGTGACGAAAAGGGGGAGGAGGGGGTGTGGTCTGCGAGAGACGCAAAATAGCGAGAAGGATTTTTGGGGTGTGAGAGTGGAAAAAGGATAAATAATAAACACAGTGTGAAAAACATGAAATTGTGATGTTTGTAATTTTCCAATGAGTTTTTCACCTTCTCATCGCACAACTTCCATTGCGGGGCGCGACATTAGAATATGCTGTGTGGGCGGGGGATTGTCAAAAGAATTTTTTCATCTCCCTTTTTTGCTCTTTCCACCTTGAGATGTCGCGTCATTCAGCGCTGCTTTATTTTTCCTTGCCATATTTAACAGAAAAGAAAAATAAGGGAATTAAAGTTATGAGAATTTTTGATGATGAGAATTTTGCACATGAAAGACACAATTTCATTAGATGAAATTGGATTTGTTAGGCAAAAGTTTGATTGATCAAAATTGGAATTCTTGGGCATTTTATGATGAAAGTAATTCGTTTGTATTTCACCTTTTCTTGCAGAAAGTGTATCGCCAGAGACATTCAGTATAATGAATGATAATCACATCTACACGAGCAGCGACTTCTTCGACAGCAATTCCTCGCAGGGGCGGCTGGTGGTGAAGGTGGAGCCCGGACTGCTGGGCGCCGGCGGCGATCTTGAGGATCTCGGGGTGAACAACTCGGTGAATAGCACAGACTATTGCGCCATGGACACGCTGAAGGACAATCCCATGATGACCACCGCCTCGATGCCGATTCCGTCGCGCGGATCAACGCGCATGAATTTCGACTTTTCCGACTTTGGCTTCGACTTTGACTCCTCGCAGGACATCACCATGCAATTGAATCCGCTGAGTGCCACCAGTGCCAGTATGTATGCTGACATGCAGCCGAGCAACTCGACGATGTGGAGTGATATTGGCGCCGCGATGGTCACAACCAAGACGGAACCCTTTCACATGGACGACGACGATATCTTCCAAGTGGACAAGGCGGACCTCATTCAGGGTGAGTTTCACATCCTTCTCCCCATTTATTTATGTGTCTCTTCCACATGATTTGCTTCCCTCCTTTAGTTACCATTCGTTCTTTTAAATTTTATATTGTTATTATTATTTCCATATGAAGAGAGAAAAACACGCATTTTGAGTTTATTTTTCTTTTATATGAAATCTTCTTTTTTTCTTCAATTTTGTGCACTGTTATAACTGTTGCTTGGCTCATTAGTTCTCTTCGTTATGTCCCATAAAAGATGCTGCATTTTTAATTTAAACCTTGTTTTTCTTAGCATTTGCAAATAAAATTTTGTAGCCTGATTTTGTGGAAATTTGAATGAATTTTATTGCTTTGCGAATTAGAAAATGTCTCTTGTTTACATCGAAGTCAATATTTTGCTGACATCGTCAGCCTTTTCGTTGGAAATTTCGCTTGAGATAAAGCATCACATCTCTGTGGTGTGTATGATTATAAATGGTGTATATAAGGCAGAAAAATGAGGGATTTCCCCACACTTTTGTTGATTTCTATTTGTTTTGCTTGCGATTGGAGACGCCAAAATCTTCTCCTACACACTTGATACTGTTTTTGTTGCTCACTTCTTCTGTATGTTTGTCTAATACATATTATATGTATGATTTGGAGGCTTTAATGTAGCATAACATTGTGTCGAGAGGTGTCGGGCTAATTAACTCACCTGAGGTTTTTCTCTTTCTCTTCAATCGTCCCGTAAAAAAAACTCCATGATTACACATAAACACAAAAACACTACTTTGTTGCAAAAAAAAGGTCCAACATTGGCTGAACTTAATGATGATACGCTTTTAGAGGACCTCAATATAGACGATCTTATACTGCCCGAGGAGCCGTCCTACATGATGGATGGCCACAATTTGCACCAGATGCAAACGGCCACGACCAGCCCGTTGAATTCGTCGCTGTCGCCGCAGCCGTCGATGGGGCTGAATCAGTCGGGCAGTCTGACGTCTGTGGGGAGTCTGCATCAGCCGCTGACGCAGCAGCTGAATCTCTTCACCCTACAATCGCCCACGATCTCCATTGGGCGCGACGCCCTGTACGATGAGCGCACCAACACGTCCTCTAGTCCCTTCGACGCCAACACATTCACACCAACCAAGTCAATCAACTCCAGTCTTGCCTTCTCGCCGGGTAGTCATCACAGCAGCAACTCCTCGCTGCTCCACAACTCGGTCACGCCGCCGCCAAAGAGTCTGAACAGTGGGAAGGCCAGCTCGTCCCACAAGAGATCCACGCTGCACGATCTCCTGCGCAAGGACACCTCGCAGAACTCCGTGTCGGTGTCCGTGCCGCGCTCCTCGGGCCTCGTCATGCCGGGCAATGCGCTCAGTCCAGGAGCGCCTGGGCCGAGAAATCGCGGCATGAGTCATGTGCTGTCCAACCAGAACTTCCCCTCGTCCAGGCTCTCCTCGTCGGCACCGACACACTTGGGACTGGAGCAGATCTGGCAGAGGCGAGAGCCGAGACAGCATCTCCTGTCCACGGGTGAGTAGAGCCTGATTACATCCTCAATTCCGTACGACTTGAACGGACTGTCTTTGCAGGAAGCATGGCTGAGGCTGGTTCCACGTCCTCCTTGAGCACTGGCGGTGTTCTGAGTCCAGAGGCGCCAGATTTCTCACAGGATGAGGGCTATTCCGATGACGACAGTGATCACTATGAGGACTATTCCACGGATAACGATTCTGATGATGACTCAAAGTCCAACAATCCGGGTGGCAGCAAGAAGGAGCGCTTCTTCTGGCAGTACAACGTGCAAGCCAAGGGCCCCAAGGGTCAGAGATTGGTGATCAAGACACACTTTGAGGATCCACACGTTCTCAATGAGGTCACAGATCCTGTCTTCAGTCCTCACTGTTCTGTGCGGGGAATTAAGGTGAGTGCAGAGAGGTGTTTTTGCAGCATTTCGAGCATTTCAATGTCTTTTGTGTGTGTCCTTGAGCAGCACAGCGGAAAGGCCAGGAAGGGCGATGGGAATGATTTAACGCCAAATCCACGGAAATTGAACAACATTGGGAAGGAGTTGGACAAATTGGGGAGGATCATCAATGATATGACACCAGTGAGTGAGTTGCCTTTCAACGTGAGACCAAAGACGAGGAAGGAGAAGAACAAATTGGCGTCGCGTGCGTGTCGTTTGAAGAAGAAGGCCCAACATGAGGCGAATAAGATTAAATTGTATGGACTGGAACATGAGCACAGTGAGTGGCTTTGATCGTCTCTGTCTAATCAGCTTTAGAGGATTCTTTTAAATGTGATTTTCTCATCTTTTCTGTCTCTTTCTCACCCGCAGAACGACTGATAAATGGTATTCTACAGCTGAAGCAGACCGTAATTGCGAGATGCAACAAACCAGTATCTGATAACAGTGACGAGACGATTCAGCAAATTGACAAGATTGTCAAGTCAGCGACAAGTAAGATGCAGTGCTTGAAGTGGACAAAATGTGACTTAATATATTAATTGATTGTGTGATTTTTTTTTGACTTTGCAGAGGTGAAAATTGCCGGAACCTCGACGGAGTTTGTGAACAAAATCCTGGAACGAGTAAAATTGGGCGACCCAAATGGTGGTTTGGATGAATTATGAAACAATTCGCGATTGTCCCTTGAGATAGATTTGTGAATTTCTTCCCTTTTTTTTTTTAGAAATGTTTCTTTGTTCTTTTATTGAGTTTATATATTACCTTTTTTTCTTATTTGCATATAAGGAGAGAAAAGTACCTTTGATGAATTGTTAAAGCCAGAATATTTGTAATTGATTTGTTTTATACTGTTTTTTTTTGTTTATGATTCTTTTTTGTTGTGCCACTATAAAGTTTAGACGAGTAATCTAAAGTGATTGATCATTGTCATGAGATGAGAAGATAAAGAAGAACGGGGAAAAAACCAGTTAGGATTTAATGAAACCAAATATTTTTTTCTACTGCTTTAAGGACGTTACAAGATATGAGATGATTGAATAGTCAAGTTTATTCACTCTATGCATATTTTTTTTGAGTTTATTCTTTGAGTTTAAGTATAAACGGACATAATGGGCATCCTTTAAGTTTGTAATACTTATGAAATCGTAGTTTTTGGGCCTATTGTCGTAATATTAGAAGTGAGAAGTGTTTTTTTTATCTACATAATATCTGTATATCATGTTTGAAGTAAAAATTGAGTAATAATTATAGTTTTGCATTAAGATTTTGCGATGAAACGTTGGATTATTAAGAAACGATACAAAAATTGCGAAGAGAGAACGCACCATTAGTATGTAGATTGCTTGATTAAAGAGAGAGATTGTCTTTGAGAAAGCTGAGAGAAATTCTATAATATTTATTGTAATAATTTAACTATATTACTTACTCTACTAAAGAAAAAAAAAACAGAGATAGAGAGAGAAAATGAAGAAAAACATAATGGTAAAGAGAGGAAAAAATCATATATTTTTGGGGGTGATTAGATATTAAGGAAGAAAAATAGTTTGTGAAGACATATTATATAAAGGATATATTAAAAAATATATAATATTTTTTGAACGAATGTTGGTACAAAGAAAATCACAGAAGGAAAAAAATGTTATTTACTATAAGAAATGATGATAAAAAGTGTCTATAATACTTGAAGTTTACTTTATACTTTATCAATTTTTTACATAGCGACAAACAGTCTTTACAGAGTAAGCAAAAATAATATCAGAATCATTCACTATATACCGAAGTAAAAAGAAAGAAAGAAAGAAAAAGTGTGGAAACGGCATGGAAATGTTTAAAAAAAAATCTTACTAATTTATCTGATCTGTGATTCATTGTTACTAACACATGGAAATGATATAATCTAACGATTTTATTTCTAAGATGGCAAAAAATCATTCATTTTGCTTCTTCTCACGATCGAGAAACATTGGAGAGTATTCTCAATTACACCTACCGTAATGTCTTACATTAATAATAATAAATTCACTGTTGAAAAAAAATTGTAGAGGCAAAACATTTACATTGCATTGAGCGAAAAGTAATGTTGAGATTTACGTACAGCTAAAAAAAATCCCTCTTTGACTGATTGTTTATTGCCAATTCTTGTTGAGCATCTATTCAAGTGGTTTCGGGAATTAAGTAATTGTATATTGTAATGAAAAATATGTATTTGATTAAAATTTATTTCACAAGTTCTTTCAAAATTCCAATGTAAAAATATTCATTATTGATATTCAATCAGTCAAATTGGTGGGAATTTTCCCTCAAGTTCAACTCCTTTCTCCGTATTAATCTTTATGAATGGTTGAAAATAAGTGTAATTTTGTCATGTTGATCCTCTGAAAGTGCCACAAAGAAGTGGTTTAACCTCCTTTTGGGCAACAACACACGTTCAAGCCAGAGAAGAGATTTTCCGACACAGTGTCTGGAAGTGACTTTCGCCATAAAACATGCATTAAATATTAGTCACAATATATTTCTGTTAAACTCTTTGTAATAACTAAATGTCTAATCAATGTAAAAACTGTTACATTTGATGTAATTCACAGTTCAACGTGTCTCTTATGAGATTTGATGGTATTTTCGAGAGGTTTTCACTGATGTTACAGAATAAAAAAAAGGGGAGGAAAAGAAGAGGACAGATTGTTGTGTGTGAAAAAAGATGAAATTGTGACTATTTTTGGAAAGCATGCTGACAATTTTTACGACCAAAACGCGTAGGGTAGAATCGGAACTTAAGATTTCAAAAGCAAAAAGGTTTAAGGAAACAAAAAAGTGTGAAAAACGAAACAAATAGAAATGCTAATATATTTTTTATCATGTAGAAGTTATAAATTGCAGAAAATAGTGTGTAGAAATGATGTTAAAGATTATACTATAAAAGAAGAAGAAAGAAAGAAAGAGAACCTCTCTTATGTCTTGTCTGTGTATAAAACAAAAAAAATAATTGATAAATAAGAAAAAAAAATACAGAAAATGATGTGAGATATCTTGCAAATAGTGTAAAATTTCACAATTTGACAGAGAAAAATTGAAAAGCGACGGAGCAGCAAAGAAAATGTTCAATTTTTGAAATAAAGAAAGAAGAATCTGACAGTTTGTCGAGATTTCTACCTCATAAGAATGGAAACGAAAAGTGATATAATTTGTTATGTACATTTTTCTGAATTGTTTGTCTTTTCCTTTGTAAACAAAAAAAAACACATGGGTAATCCGAATGCCATAAATGGAAGTAATGCGATGAGGAAAACACCTTTAATTTTTGCTAATCGTTTTCTTTTTGTTGTATTATTTCGCGCGATAAGAGATGTAAAGAGAGTGGAAGGAGTGAAAAGAGAAAAAAATGCTTTAATAATTATACTACACATCGTTATATTTAAGATTACACACACACACACACACACAAACACACGATGAATGATATAAAAAGAGCTTGTGAAACTGTAAATTTTGTGTTTCTTTCTTTTTGCCTTTTCCCACCTGATCACGCTCATGCTGCATCGACGGACAGAGCTTATGCTTCGAGATATTCCACAGTCAGAAAACAACACACATTTTTCCTCAATTTAACAATACTTTATTCTCAGATAGTGTTCTTTAGTAACTCATACTAAGCCTTAATATTGGTAGTTTCATTAAATAAAAAAAAATGTCGGACTAGAAAAATGCTGCTTCTCAATACAATATTAAATAAAAAAAATCTACAATTGTAATTCGTAATCTCTTTCGCATGTAAAAAGCACGAAGAAATGTCACGATACGTCTTTTTCTCCTTAATTGGTGTGTCTGTGTTTCCTAGTCCAGTGAAATGCCCTGAATCCAGGCACTGAGATCCGTGCTGTCGGACTCCATCACGATCTCCTGCGGAGAGTCTGGCGTGAGGATGACCTGCGCAGCTGTGCGTCCACTCAGATAAGCTCCGTGAACGGTGGAGTAGAAATTGGCATGAGTATGCTCGCCGGCGAAGAGAATAGAGGGCTGAAAGAGGGATTGATTTTCCATATGAATTAACTGGAATATTTCACCCACACTTTCCGCACCTTTGACTGGTGAGGATCAGAGTAGAGAGGCTGTGCGATATTCTCAATGTCATCCTGACTCGCTCCAACGGCCATGGCTGTATAGGAACCTCTGCAGAAGGGCTGATTTCTCCAGCTCGTGCTGAAATGACCACAAAACAAGCGCTAAAACAACTTCCAATAAGACTCACAGGAGATCTCTCTTACCAGATACACCTCTTCGGTTTGGGCACGAAGGGATCCTGAAGGAACTTCCGCAGAATCTCCGTGCACTTGTCCGCCACTTCGTCGTGCGAAAGTGTCTCCATGAATTCCGCCTCGCGACCAGAAATCCATCCCAGCAGCAGTGTTTCCGTCACCTTCGCGAACGAGTAGATCTTCTTGAACCACACATCCTTCATGCTCGCCTTGGTCGTCGTCGCGTCGTCATTCCACAGCAGCATCACTTCGCTGATGGTGCTGTTGAGGAAGGGTCTGTCGTACTCAAGGAATATCTTGTCCACCGTCCCGAACAGGAGCCTCTCGATGGATTCGCGCTTGTAGGTGGGAAGTGCTGGCGAGAAGAGCGTGTCGGCCTTCTCTTTGAGAACACCCAGCGGAATTGTGCAGATGACGTGATCAGCGTAGAAAATCTCTCCAGCCTCTGACTCTATTTTCACGTTGAAATTGCGCGTGGGCGCCTCAGTCACGGTCTTGTCCGAGTCATCAGAGTCACCTTCGGCGTCCTCCTCCACTGTCGTGAGACTCCCGGCGCTGATGGAGCCTTTCCGTCGCCAGTGAATCGTGCGCACGGGACACGCTTTGATGATCTGCTCAGGTGAGAGATGCTCAGTGAGTGGACCCAGAATGGAGCTGTAGCCCGCCGGCAGGACGATGTTGCCGCCCTGGAGTTCAGTGTAGCTGCCCAGCTCCAGCAGATCAATCTCATTCATGTTATCACAGCCTGTTATGCACGTCTCGCGCTTCAGGAGGCAATTGAATATCAACTGCTTGATCCTCTTCTCGGGCGATTCGGGCATCTCCTCCAAGTACAGCTCACGCTCCAGCTCGATGTGCTCCCCCACGCTCAGGATGTCCGGCGGCGGGATGTACTGGCAGAGGAAGTACTCTTCGCAGCGGCGCAAGAAAGTCACGTAGGCCTCGTAAATCTCGTGCAGAATATCTATCGGCACCTGCTTTCCGTCCTCCGTCGCCGCCACGATCTTGTGCGGCTTCGGGATGTTGATTATGCTCACCAGCCCAGATCCCATGGCCAGCTCGTAGATGGGATTCCCCAGGACACCGTGAATCCAATTGGCTCCGAGCTCGACCTGGAAACACAACACAATATATTACATAACCTCTCCCGACTCTCCGCCTCGGCGAACGCGTTAAGGTCCGCGTGGCCTTGCGGCAGGCTCTGACTTGCCTTCTGGGAATCAATGTCTATAGACACGATGCGACCTCCAATTCGGTTCCTGGCCTCGAGGATGAGAAAGTCCGTGCAACCATTCTTCAGCAGATGGTTCGCCGAGGACAGTCCAGCCGCCCCCGCGCCCACTATTAGCACTTTACAGTATTTCGCACATTTCACCGCATTTTCACTCATTGTTGGGAGTGAAATTGGAACAGGAAATTGGCGATTTTCTCAATCTGCACAGAATATTGCACTGTTTTTTGTTGACCACCGAATCAGCTGGGCGACAGCTGTCAAAACTCACAGCAATGCGCACCTGATTCGCGACAGCTGTTCCGTACGGAATAAATATGCTCCAGGTGAATTATTCCGCAGAAATGAATGATAGTGAGGCTCTGTGCTGATTTTTATGCTCGCAGAGAGCTTTTGTGGCTAATTCCAGAGCTTTTACTGTTGGGAATAAAACAACTCCGTGAATTTTATCGTATTCTCTGTTTTAATCCTCTCAAAAAACTCACCCCGACGCTGTTCTCCTACACTTTTTTCTCCACTACACTTTTATTGGCGCTGCGAGCGCAGCTGTCATTTTCATATTTGAATTTTAACTGGAATTTCAGCAAATTCCAATAACATTTACTGCTCATTAATCGCTCGGAAGAAGCGAATGAAGCAGAGTGAAGAACGCTTCAGCCGGGTTCTGTCGTCAGATTGGCAGCCTTGATTGTCAGTGGGTGTGTTTTTATTTGTGTTTTGTTCCCTTTTCTCGGCCCCAAAAAATGTCTCAGCCGACTTTTACTAGCACTCCAGTTCAGAAAAAGCTTCGATTTCGCGGTGACTTCAATCCCCTGTCCTTCCCCGACTGTCGAGTGGAGGATTTACTGGACGACGTTGACGGCAAGAGTGCGAGAAATGGTGATATTTCGGGTGCAAAAGGTAAGCGCACGTCAGTGCGATGCGTTTCTTCGATTTTCACACGCAATTTCCACCCTGCAGGTGGTGGAAAATCCAGCGAACAAGCTTCGCTGTATGACTTCCTCAAGGTGGAGCTCACGCGGGGCTACATGCTGGAGCACGATGAGGAGCGCTACAGCGCGCGGAGGCAGAAAATCTATGCCTTCATGAAGATTCCACGGGAAGTGGAGTCGTTCATCTTCTACGGAGTGCTCCAGTGTGCAGACTCCTTCCTCTACATCCACACCTTTCTGCCCGTGCGATACATCCTGGCCATCTGGGCGATCATCTACCGTCCCATCGCCAGCTGCTTCGGCTTGCGGCGGCGGAAGCGCCGCTTGCTGGCGCCGGCGGAAGTGTGTGACCTTCTGAAGGGCTCCATCTGGATCATCTGCACGCTCCTCATGGTGAGCTTCGTGGACACCAGCCGGATGTATCACATCATCAAGAGCCAGTCCATCATAAAGCTCTACATCTTCTACAATATGCTCGAAGTTGGCGATCGATTGCTCTCGGCTTTCGGCCAGGACGCGATTGACGCGCTCTTCTGGACAGCGACGGAGCCCAAGACGAGTCGCCGGCAGCATCTGGGCATAATTCCGCACTTCTGCTTCGCCCTCATCTACGTAATCGTGCACAGCGGACTGATAATGTTCCAGGCCACGACACTCAATGTGGCCATCAACTCCAGCAACAAGGGACTGCTCACAATCATGCTGTCCAACAACTTTGTGGAGCTCAAGGGGAGTGTGTTCAAGAAATTCGACAAGAATAACCTCTTCCAGCTCACGTGCAGCGACGTGCGCGAGAGATTTCACCTCTCAATGCTCCTCCTGATTGTCGTCATTCAGACAATGAAGGAGTTCAACTGGGAGGGCGAACAGTTCCTCCTCATGCTGCCCGACTGTGCCTATGTCTTCATCGTGGAGTTCTTCATTGACGCCTTGAAGCATGCCTTCATCACGCGTTTCAACGAGCTGCCCGTGGAAGTGTACAAGGAATACACGCTGAGTCTGGCCTACGACATGACCCAGACGCGCCAGAAGCACGCCTTCTCCGACCACAGCGATCTGGTGGCGCGCAGAATGGGCTTCATCCCCTTTCCACTGAGTGTGGTGCTCATCAAGGCGGTATACAACGCCTTGTCATTCGAATCTTGGGCTTCTGTGATCCTCTTCGTGCTCGGCTATCTCGTGCTGGTGCAGCTGCGAGTGCTGAATATGATTGTGGCGCTGGGTAAGGCGTGTGATCTCATGAAGAAGCATCAGGAGGAGAAGAGCAATGTGCCATCGGCGCCACAAGTGCCCAAGGGTCGGAATGTCACCGACACAGCCACATCTCCAGTGCACAACTTCCCTCTGCAGCGCTCCAAGACGGTCGATGGTGTGCCGGAGAAGAAATCCAGGTTGGGCGCGAGAAAGATTCAGGAGGATTCGAGCAATTTGGGCGCCACTGCGCTCTTCTCCAACAGCGATGTGGATCTGGAGGGTGTGTGTCTCAATGAGAACCTGCTGAATGAGTCCGATGAGGTCTTCCAGGATGACTTCTCCATGACGCGCAGTGTGCCGGACTTGCAGCAGCGCAAGAAGGACGACGATGAGTCCAGCGAGGAGACTGTGGGCAATCGAACACACAAGAGATCTGAATCTGAGCCCTCCATCCAGAGTGTGCTTCAGGCCAATTCGCTGGGCAATAGCTGTGCCACGGCGACTGGTGTGACGGAGAGAACGTGACCCAACTGATGAATTTCTGGCCTAAATCCCAAATATCGCTCAAAGTACAGGTAAAGAAAAGAAAAAAAAAACCTCCATTCACCCACACTTCACGGGCGCTTTGATAGAATCATCACTCGCTTCATTCACAAAATGTTATAAATATGCTTTTACATTAACTTAAGAGAGTGCCAAAGTTATCATATCTTCTTCTGTTTTTTTTTTCTTCGAGAGAGAAAGCAAGAAAACTTCCCCATCTTTCTACTCTTTCTTTCTTTTTTTGTTCTCGAAATGAGTTGTTAGAGAAAATGAACACATTGGGTTGGAAATAACTCAAGTACTTATGAAAACTTAACGTGGTAAGGATCTCTTTTGTACGAAAATAGCTGGAGAGAAAATTGCGCTGAAGAAGAGTGGCACGCTATTGAATTATGGAATTTTTGATTACACTGTCTCTGTGTGTTGCTCTTTGATTTAAAAAATTATACGTGCTTCGGCATATTGTGCTGTGTCATGGAATTGTGAGGAGAAAGATCTAAAAATATCCTCTTTTCCAACCCCATTCATTAAAGTGCGTTATTATTCATGAAAGTCAAACTTACAGTGATGTGCAATTTGGTGTTTCTATTCACACTGAACGCTCTGTGTGTGTGTGGTTTGTGTCTCTTTGTGTTTCATGGGAAAGTTCAAGGGGTTGCAAGACCACTGATAAGCGAGTCTTGCATTCTTCAGCATGCTAACTTTCCCAGCAATCACGCGACTATCGATTGCACACTTAATTGCACATGATTGCGCGTCTTTCTGGTGAAATGAGGAGTTCGAGTTGCGTTTCATAAATCTTCTTTTGTATTATTTGTCATATACAATCTAAAATTAGTAACCTTATTTAGTAAAGTAATTCTGGTGGTGAATATGATTTTTTTTCTTTTTGGGTTGTTTGCGATTTCATATTTATAAATAATTCAGTGAGAAATTGGACCATTCATTAGCTCTGTAATTAGTGAGAGGTTGTTTTTGCGTGCACTGTGACTTTATCTGTCCTTTCAATCAAATTTGCCTACAATTTTCCCACTCTTTGTTGTTTATCTTCTGGGAAATTGTGTGTTATACTAGTTTGTATATTTATTATAATGAGAGTAGAAAGAAAAATGTAAGGAGAAAAGACGTTAAATTGGAGAAAAAATGCTTTACATTACATATACATAAGATGTGTATCCTTGTGAGAGAAGACTTGAGTTTATTTTTTCATTTTGTAAAATTTGAAAGAGAGAGAGAAAAGTAATATGTTTATTAATTATTGAGAAAATTGCTGTGTACAAAATAAAAAAGAAAGAGAGTCAATGTTGGAATATCCATCTCAACGGAGGACACACTTTTTGCCCCAGAGCCTTTCAAGAGGAGGACCAATTGTGCTGGCTTCGGTGGGTGAGGTGTGTGAGAATGGGAGAGTGGATTTGAGGGGTCGCTGCTGAAATTCATGAATGAAACTCTGGTGTGTGACCTTCAGAGTATTGATTTTACGGTGAGCAACAATTCATCCCTTGTGCGAGGGACGCGCGCTGGAGGGCGGCATTATTTTTTCATCAGCTAAAGATAGAGCCTCCGGTGGTGCGCCTTCGCAAGGCGCTCCTATCTGTCCCTTAATTCCAAATTAAGTGTCCAGGAAACGAAGCGCGATGACACAGTCAATATGAGGGTAAGTAAGTAGTCTGAAAATACATCGTCTTTCAGTGGCTTGGAGTTGAATGGAGAAGAGCTTTTGCTCTGGAAGTGCTGGATGAATTTTTCTCACTAATTCCATCCAACGAAGAGCTCCGCTCGAGAAGTGCTCGAGCTAGCAGAAGGCGAATGTCATAGGGTGTGATGTCCCGATAGCGTTTGAGGATATATAGAGAATAATTGGTCTTGAGACAAATGGAAGTTGTATAATCAGACCAAGATAAAGTCGAGTTAAAAAAGATTTCGAGATTTCTAACCAGATCAGCTTGGGATTAAGAACCAATCTATTTGACACGGTTCAGTGCTCAAGCAGCGAAAGATTCTCATTCATGCGCTGGAACGCAGAGATGGAATCTGAAGGATTGCCTTGAATGTAGAGTTGAATATAGTTAAATAACTATAGTTGAAATAGTGCGGCGGAGTGTTGAAAAATGCTTGAAAATAACATGGTGGCAAGCTTTAATTGCCGCACGGACTATGAATGAATGAGTGGAGCCTGCGTGGTGTCTGTTGGGCGAATTTTTGGGGGGCGCAGGAGAGGGCGACCGGTGTGGCTTTTCGTGGGAAAAATCGATGAGCGTAACCTTTCTCTCTGCATGAATGTCAAAGTCACACACAGGCCACTGCATCGCGCCCGGCTGGGAGGCGTTCCAGGAAAAGCTCTCCAGCTCACCAAACACCTCCGAGTCGCACCTCGTTGGGTATTTCTGGGCGGTGGACAATGGCGATGACTCACGGAGCATAATGCGATGGACTGCAAGTCCAATTAATGTCCACTTTGGGCTGCTGAATCTATTTCGGGCGCATAATTCGTATTGCATTTACCTCTTAAGTGGGTGGTTGACTCCATGGCGAAGAGCAGGAAGGACTATTTTGGGACACTTAAGCTCCACGCAGATCAACTTTGAGCTTCACACTGGCAAATTGAGTTGGCGAACAGAAAAAAAAACACACAATTAAATGATTTTCTCATCAGACAGAAAACCGTAAATTCTGTCTCTCTCTCCTAAAGCAATATGACGATGGAGATATGAATCATTTTCACAGCGAGGATTTTCCAGATTTTCGTTTATGGCAGAAGTTTTTCATTGTCATAATGAGAACAAGTTTTTAATTCCCTTTTTTCCAAAAATAGCACACAAAAGATATTTAATTATTTCGCAAAATTATGCAGTCTTATTAAAGTTTTCATGTAAAATAATATATATATCTTCTGCAGAAATCTGTTATTCGCGTGTAGGTTGGCATGAGAGGACTTGTTCACCTAAAACTATAACAATAAGTTCAAATAATCGTGTAATATGACCATGATTTACGGTATAATTCAGTTAATTTAAATTCCACGAATGTATGCTTTCGCAGTATTATTTTATTGTTCGTAAATATACATAAATTAGGGGTGGAAAAGCGTACAGTGAATGGATTTGAGTCAAAGAATCCTGCCAAGCCCTAAATAATTTCAGAATGGCAGATAGAATTTGTATTCAGAGGCGCTATAATGAATTGTTTCCATTGATATTTAAGTCCCTGCGGTCTTGGAGGTATTTCTGCTGCGTTCTTCATTTCCTAAGCAGATGGGAAAGTCCTTTGAAAATGGAGCGTATGTGTGTGAGCGTGAGTATGGCGAAAGGCGTGTGATGTGAATTTTCCGCAGAAAAGATAGCGAATAATCACGGGATTTGATCAAATTCCGCATGTTATTCTGCAGCACGAGTGGAAATTCTAACGAGGCGAATACCCAGTGGAGAAGTGGAAATGAGCTCGGGAAACGTGATCCCGAATGGCGGCAGAAAGTGGTTTCATTCACAAAATTTACGCGTCACACACAAACACACACTCTCTGGGGAGGATTTTGCCGGGGTGCGGCGCGTGCGGGGCGGCGGGTGGCGTTAGTAAAAATGCGTCTTTGTGTTGCTCGGTGATTTCACGATGACGTCAGCTGAATTCTCTCGATTGACGTCAGTGTGGAAAGTTGCGCAAGTTCCTATCGAAAAACACACGGCGGATCATCGTGAGCAAGTTCAAGATTTCGACATTGGCGTTGCCATGGAGAGCTCACTGTGATGCCACCACTCTTCAATTGCGTGCAATGCGATGGTCTCGCGAGCCCGGCTGGGCTGCGACGCAATTTTCGCGGGAGACGCGCGCGTGTAGGCTCTTGTCCGGATCCTGGAAGTCGAGGCTCTTCCTAATTAAGTGGCACAGAGAGAGAGTGGTGAGCTTTCGGAGGGTGGGAGACGCGGCGCTCCATGCTGGCGAAGGTCATGCCTTGAGCTTTTCCGAGGGCTGCTCCACTGCGCATGATAGCACCGGCCGGTGGAGGAGACTCTCCAAGGCCCAAGGACACCCCAAGAGCTTCCAAGGGCTTTTCGGTGCGACTGAAAACTATTGATTTTCAATTTGATTCTATTTCTGTGCACGGAAGTGCTGGAGTGGCACAAAAAAAGCGCCACAATAACTTTCATGGAGCCGCAATTTGTATCGATGACATTGTAATTGCTATTGACTGATTTTTCTTCAACAGCTATTTCGGGGTTAATACAGCAAAGCTCTCTCTCTCTGTCTATTTCGAGACTTCTGCACCCCACCCATGTGACATGGCCGCCCTTAGAGAGCCCGGCGAGGGAGGAAGGGCGGCATTTGTCATCCGTGGAAAAAAAGGGCGTAACAGGTGATGATGAGGACACGTGTTGAGGATTCGTGCGACTATAAATATGGAGCGAATTCCTCGGGATTTCAGCTTGAATCCCCAAGCAGCGCCACCCCCAACTGAGTGGGAATCTATTTGCGGAAGAGGCAGTGAACAGGTGAGGCGCACTTGTTGATGCCACTGAGCGTCACTGGGATCGTGACGTAATTCTGAACTCTGTCACCACACGAGTGGACTTTGCCATTGATAAAGGAGCGCGGAGTTGGCATGAATGAAAGACACACTTCGGCATCTCGCAGAATTTCCACCCGCACAGGAAACGCTTCCTCCTGATTTCATCTCTTTGATGTCTGCATGGAGGCACTTTCTGTGGACCCCAAATCGAATATTTTCCCCCACATTTGCTGTGTGTGGGTTTCGGGACTTCCTCAAAAGTCCATTCACGCGGAAGAAATTGTCACCGCCAGTGTAATTGGGGTGAAATCAATATTAGTTTCAATGATATAATTAATATATAATTGCCAATTTGAATTACCAACAATTTAATTGTTGCGCCGTTTGTCAAGTCAGAGCTTTCGAAGCTCTCCACAGTGCAAAGCTGAAGCTTCTCTGGGAAATATTTCACCCCCAGTACGTCTCATTGTGCACGCTCCAGAGCTTAAACAGAAGGATACACTTCAGTCAATGAGAGTTTAAAGCGTTTTCTCTGCGTGGGCGTGAATTTTCCCCAATAACATTTTCTCGCATAATTTATTCATTGGGACATTTCCTGGATGCTGGAAGATGAAAGACGACTCAATTCTGGCGGAAATGTCACACAAAGGTCACCAAAATGT